AGAGTCAAGGTCGCTCACTGCTCTCCAAGAGTTACTAACCAACACGGAAACTCTCGGCAGGCAACTGTTGCCTCTAGAATCTTGGAAATCCTGACTCTACTCCAACTGCTATATCGACCAATATAAACTCTATTCCATACATTTCCCTTCCCTAGATCTATCCAAATTTCGGACTCCTCTTATTCACTCGATCAATTTCCGAGGTAAACGCACTTTAAACCTCTTCTTAAAGACTTTGCCGCAACTTCTTATGTGTTATGCTGGAAAGAACCGATGTGTATTCTCTAAAGCAAAAACATTGTCCTTGCAACATACTAAGATACTGACCAACAATGCTGGACCCCAGATACCAGAACTTAATTGTGTAATAAACAAACGTCAGAATCTTGAAAGTAAATAAAAGATACTTTGGCTTTTTTTTGCCAAAAAAAATTCCTTTGAAGTTTTTCAAGGTGTCTGTTTTTATGATAATAAATTATTTTATACTTACTATATAAAAATAAAATTATTTTTTTATTTAAAAAAGAAAACTGTCAAGTTGAAGTAAATTTGAAATAAAAGTTGAATTATATTTATTTTTGATACTTTGCCAAAAATACTTATCGGAAGTGTTTCAAGGATTTTACTTGATGTTTTTTAAATGCCAGTAAATTCAAAAGTCAATCCTGTTTCAATATGTATTGAACTACTTTTTCATTTAAAAATAAAACTTATTACTGATATAATTTCATATTAATAAATAAATTACATTTATCAGCTATAAAAGCTAAAGAGATCAGGAAAAATTTATTAAATAAATAATTAGACAAAAATATTTGATGGGTTAATAAAATCAGGATGAATAGAAATTAAAAAGCTAATCTAGCTACTGAATATTTTAAATTTTATGGCTATCAGTAAATAAAACTATTTAAAATATAATCCAATAAAATTGATCATTAGGTAATTAAGTCAAGTTAAAATGAAAGTACATTTATATTTATTCATTGAATAATTTATCCATTTTAACAGCTTGGTCTGGCATCATATGTGATACTTTAAGTGTGTTCTGACAGGTTCATGCATTACATATGATACCTAACACCCACTAAAATACGTTACACTGATCAGGCAGGTGGATATATGGGGAAACCATTAATACTTTTTTTTTTATAGAAGCAGTTGACGCAAATGAACCGTATGCTAATAAAGACATAGATACAGATCTTACCCAGTATATTATTTTACTTAATTATTTACTTGATCGTTTCATCAAAAATTATTATTCCTTTTTCAGTTGATCAATTTAATAATATTATATTTATTTATCATATCAAAATTATACAACCAATTTTAAATCATGAAGAATCAATCAAGGTCATCAGACTTTGTTTCTCTTGTTGTGCAGTTATTATTGTGTCATTAGTACAATGTGTGGGTCGATATTTGCATTGATCACTGAATTACCTTGCAACGCCTACAGAGTTAACTATTCTTATTTGTGGTTTACAATATAAATGTATATGTAAGTGCATACTATTGAATCTTATAAAAGTAGATGCGATTTGTAAAGATGAAAAAATTTATCAAGAATTAAATTTAATGACTATAAAATTAGTAGCAAAATTGACTTCATTCTATCCTACTAAAGAAATGATGAAAGAGCATTCTTATTTATTTTTAAAAATTGCTCATCATTTAAAATTTTTATATTACTCATTCGACTTGATAAAAGTTGAAAAAAAAAATTTATTAAAAAAATATTCAACCTTTGAGGTTGAGGTAAAATAAGTAGCACAAAATGACTATCAATTTTATCGACAAAGGAATATTTGTCAAATAATGACATTAAATATTTTCCCCTAATTTATCTTATTTATTATGACTTCTATTATTCACATATTAATATTAATGTTAACCAAAATAATTTGAGAACAAAAGAAATATTATTTATTTATATTAAACAACAATAATAGATGTGAGAAATAATGAAATAGATATTCTATTATTGACACCCTGAAGCTTATGAATAAAGTTCAAAGCTTTGTTTGGCTTTCATTTAATATTCAAACGTAACATTTTGATGTAAAATACAACAATATGTATGTCGTACTGCTCCCTCTTGTTCTTTGGCCTCATGTGACCTCGTTATAGTAGAACTAGTGAAAGAATGCCCTTCAAACAATCCTGGCGGTATTGAAACTGCTTCTGAGATTCAATGTAATGGGCATTCTTTTATGAGTTCTACTACACTACTACCAGGAGCATGTAAAGTTGTAAATTTCATTGTCTGTCTTGTAAATTTTTTCCGAGAAAAGACTTATATTCCATGATGGGAAAAAAGCTTCTGGATCCTAGAATGCTCTACCGTTTCTATTGAGTAAACTTTTCAACTAATTATTAAACTAATTTAAAAAATGCAAATTTAACAAAAAATTCTAAGTATAGTCATTATCTAGTGCATGTTGAAAATTGTTTGATTATTATCATAGACTTTTTTAATGAAAAAATAAGACCAAAAATTGATTATTAAGCTATAGAACCTTTGCTGGTTTTGATAGAGATTTTTTTTTATTCCTTGATGGAAAACCAACAACGCACTTACCGAATCACTCAAGGTGGATTAATTTAACCCTAAGTGAAATTTATATGTTTGGAAATCTGATAGCTCAAGACAGGATTCAAACTTGAAGTTCATGTTCTCATAAATTACACCCTTCTATATATATTTCCATCACTCCAAATCGATAAAATGTTGTCACTCCAAGGCAGTGTATTCTATTGTAAATCAATATTATTTAAGATACTTACATAATACGAGTAATTTTAACTGATTAATTCAAATTAAAATTTATTCACAATATGATAAAATAAAGAAAGAATTGTTTATAAAATCAATTTGTTACCTACAATGCTATAAAATTTATAAAATAATTTATACATTCTTTATAAATTGCCTGATGAATTTACAAATCACTTTCTATCAGAAAACATAAATTAATATTATGTATTATGCAATAAAAATATCCAGTAATATATTTTACAGATGAAATTCAATCAAATATTCAGTCAGTAATTTTATTACAATATTAAAATATCAAGTACGGTTTTATAAATGTCATTTTCATGCAAGAATGCTGATTATATAAAATAAATATGACCTTTAGCATATGTATCGAATTTCTTAGATTAATAAAAAATATTAAACAAATGCAACTGCACTATTTTTATAAAACAAAATAGTTATCATTCAAACCAACTCATCAATCATTTCTAGCATCAAATAATATAGCATAAACCGTGAAATGAATTTCACTATTTTAAAATATAACTTCCAATAAACTCAAACTTTTTATCAAATTTAGCGAGTTACAACACTTGCATTTTCTTCAAGCAATCAACTCAGTAATCTAGGAACAAATTCCATGAGTACAAAAAACAGGTTTCCGCTTTTTTATTGATCAGTTATAGTTGCTAAGTCTGCAGCTGAGATGTAATCGAATGGACGAGGGAATATACTAGTTTGTTGATATACTCTAAGAGTAAATAAGTGAGAAATATCTATCTACTTATTTATTATATCTATCTACATAGCATCAACTAGTATTTCTTGAAATAAAAATTAAGGGAATTTATACAAGTGACTGTAGTTATTCTCACAGCCACATAAAGAGCTCAAGCCTGACGAAGGTCCTCAAGTTGGATTGCGCGTACTTTCACCGACCGTGACTTCTATGCGTTCCACACTACGAGTTTTCACAGATAATAAAGAAACTAATAGAGATACACGTGACAACGTTGCCACGTAGATTACTAGAACCTCTGCAACGTAGCCAGTGCATTATAACAAATATATATAGCAGTTGTAATAGTTATGAAATCTTTCTAGGGCAGTAATATTAGAATTTTCGAATAACGTTAAGTGTGTCATTGCTCACTCTCTTCATTAAATATTTTTTTTAATCTTCTGTCAATGTCGTATAATCTACTATGTAATTATTAAGAGCATTAAAGACTAATACTCATTATTTGTTTTTCAAATGGTGATAAAAAATCATTACTTTCTAATGTTATCATATTTTTTAGTTTATTTTTGTTAATTACTTTTATTCTGGGAGTTATCAGTATTATTTTTGATTATTTTCATATTCTTCTGTGCTCTTTAACTACAACATTTGTTACAGAAACATCGAGGTTTTTTCTTTTTTTTTTATTCAGTTTTTATTGATAAATTCTTCATGATGAATGATATTTTATTTTTTATTAATGGAGTAGTTGAAAAAATTAATACAAAGAGAAGGTAATAGAAATAAAATCCTTTTGTATGTACTTTTAGGTTTAACTATTTGATATCTAAATTTTAAAACATAAAGTTTTTAGAAAGCTTGCATATAAATTGTTGATTTTATGTTGAAAAAACTAAATATTTGAGTATCAAAAAACTTCTATAAAAATATAGAGAGTTTATATCTAGTAGAAATGGAACGATAATAATGGAATCGTTTAAATCACTGAGGTATTTTCATTATTTAGAGTTTTCTGTTCTCAATGGAGACAAAAAGTGGTGAATTTCAGAGATATTTTAAGGAAAGTGTTGATTCGACTCTCACCAAACCTCAAAGAAACTATGTTTGTATTTATAAGAAATCATAATTCATCATATTAAAAATAATTTTCTGTATCATATAATGCTTGACTTTCAATAAATCAACTTTTAATATTAAAAAAAGTGAAAAATAACTTTCACTAACTTGAAATCTAAATTTAGTAAGTCAATAAAACTCTCGGAAATCATCTTTTTCAGCTTTGGGTGTAGAACCTTGATGGCTTGTCTTACATTATCAGTTGCATGGATATTAAAAATTGACAGACTGATTACAGTACGGAAACGAGTGATTTTCTTTATCACAATATATGTATTTATAAACATCATGAACATGATATTTACGAGTATAATTATTACAAAGATATTGATGAATTCAAAGCTGAAACTAATTTAGAAATATATTTGTTTTTTTCAGGAAGGGAAGACCTATCACCACCAAGCTCACTTAATGGCTATAATGCAGACAGCTGTGATGCTAAAAAGAAAAAAGGTCCAACACCACGACAACAGGAAGAACTTTGTCTAGTCTGTGGAGACCGAGCGTCTGGATATCACTACAATGCTCTCACTTGTGAGGGGTGTAAAGGCTTCTTCAGGAGAAGTATTACTAAAAATGCTGTTTATCAGTGTAAATATGGTAATAACTGTGAGATCGACATGTATATGCGACGCAAGTGCCAAGAGTGTCGGTTAAAAAAGTGTCTCACTGTTGGAATGAGGCCGGAGTGTGTTGTGCCAGAATACCAGTGTGCAGTTAAACGGAAAGAAAAGAAAGCACAGAAGGTATGAGTATGGCTTGTAGCAAATTAAAAAAAAAACAAGTAATTTATTCAAACTTATTCTTCAGGTAATAACTATGCACTGATGATTTATTTTAGGAAAAAGATAAACCAAATAGCACAACGATGAATGGCTCACCTGGTAGCATGAATGCTGATCAAATGGGCGTTAAAATAGAACCTTCTGAGGTTGAGTGTCTGTCAATGTCTAGCAGCAGCATTGGACCACCGTCGAGTTGGCCCAATGGCATTAAACCTGTTAGTCCGGAACAGGAAGAATTAATACACAGTCTCGTGTACTTCCAAAATGAGTATGAGCATCCTAGTGAAGAAGAAATTAAGAAAATTACGGTGAGTTTAGGAAACGAAATAATAATGATAGCCTGCAGAAAATTTTTAACTAGATATTATAAACCAGGTGGTTTTTAATGATTTAAATATCCTGAACAGCAGTCTATACAATACTTTTTTTTATTATGAAATATCTTTAAATGTTAAAAGTAAGAGTTTTTTGTTGAAAATGATAAAATATTTATTCACACGCTAAGTTAATTTTTAACAAGAATGACAAATTATGCTATTGGTACAACATTTAAAGTTTTTTAAATATATGTACAATCGATATGAAAATACTAAAAAAATTCTCAGGACCTTTAAATCCGTGAGATCCACCTCTGTTTACACATGCCACAGAATCTTTCAGGCTTATATAAATACACTAGTAAATAAGAATGACCCCAAAAAATGAAAGAATCATAGTATTAGAGAAAAATTTTTATTGTTATAAAACAAATGATTTTTTTCTTAAAAAAATTTCTTTTATAGACATAAATAATTGTTCCTACTGCTGAGAAGTTAAGCTTTTATTATAGTTAATTGTACTTGGCTAAATACAGCAACTGTGACCATTCAAGCTATTTGAAAATAATGAAAGCAAGGCTTGAAACTTTTTTTACCTTTAATTAAAAGCTCTATTTTGATTATTTTTTTTTTAATTAATTTAAAAATTGAATTTTAAAAAAAGTATTATTATATTATTCTTTACAGTATCAACCGACTGAAGGTGAAGATCCCAGTGATATTAGGTTCAGGCATATAACAGAAATAACCATATTAACAGTGCAATTGATTGTGGAGTTCGCGAAAACATTAACGGGTTTTGACAAACTTTTAAGAGAAGATCAAATTGCATTGTTAAAAGCATGTTCTAGTGAAGTAATGATGTTAAGAATGGCGAGGAAGTATGATGTAGAAACAGACAGTATCGTATTTGCTAATAATCAACCTTACACGAGAGATAGCTACAGTCTCGCTGGCATGGGTGAGACGATCGAAGATTTACTACGCTTTTGTCGGCATATGTACAATATGAAGGTTAATAATGCCGAGTACGCTCTTCTTACAGCCATCGTCATATTTTCTGGTAATTTATTTCTTGATTCGTTCAATCATAATTAATGATCAATGAAAGTGTTTTTTATTTTTCAAATGGTACTGTGTAACTTCTATTTGGAATAATATTTTAAAATTTGATGAATTTCAAAGTAGGAAATCAAAAAAACACTTTCATTTTTATGTAATCGAAAGAACTATCTATCAACGACATAAATAAAAAAATTAATTTTGTCAGCAGATCGACCGAACTTGATGGAGGCATGGAAGGTTGAGCAGATTCAGGAAGTCTACCTGGATGCATTAAAGACTTATGTAGATAATCGTCGGAAGCCCAAGTCTGGTATGGTCTTTGCTAAACTCCTATCAGTCCTCACGGAGCTCAGGACACTTGGCAATCAAAACAGCGAAATGTGCTTCAGTTTGAAGCTGAAAAACAAAAAACTACCTCCCTTCCTTGCCGAGATCTGGGACGTGATGCCCTAGTTTTTCCGTAGTCAGTTGACAACGCTGCATTACTTGTCGAGTAAATTAATTGTCGGAATCACTACGTCGTCAAAAATAGTACTATACCGACAACTCTACAACTGTTATATAGCGGCTATTAAACGGCGTCGTGAGTGACTTTTGTACTAGTGCACCACTGTGCCACTGTCTTTGTATTGTACTACATCATTTAATCATTCTTATATTTTATTTATTTTTCATTTATTTGCGTATTTCTTGTTGTCCTCAAAGGTACAAGTGATAAGCATACGATTTAAAACAACTAATATTCTTAAACGATCAAACAAATTAAGAATGGCATAATTATGATTATTTATGAAAAGAGAATTAAGTGTATAAATATCTAATGATTGAGACACGATCAAGATAGTGGCAAAGGCACCCAGGCTGTGATACATAGAGACAGTTACAAAGACTAATATATATATTTATATATATGTATATACATATATATTTATGTAAATGTGTATATATGTATGTATACATATATATAAAAGAAGAAAGAAACAAAAAAGAAGAAAAACCACACTTATGCACATATATTACATCTTCTACTCAACTATCCTTGATATTCATATGTAAATGTAATTGTAAATCTCTAGATTGGCGATAGACTGAACGAATGGTAAAAAGATTAGGTTAACGTGGAAAAATAAATAAAAGGTATACGGGAGAGTAGGAGAATCAATAAATACTGTTTTAAACGGAGGATTTTTAAGAAATAAAAATAACGTCGATGCTCTAAGATCATTGTTGAGCAATGAATCTTGGATACGATTTGAGTATGAGTACGGTATACATAATATTATGATAGAATCTATATCATATAAATAGCATAATAATATATTACCGCATGTACGTTGTTTATGAAAAAAAAAAATTAGTAGATGCAAAAGAAATAATTAAAATAATTCACATAAACGTAAAACGAAAGTGTGAAATAATAGTTAATATAAGTATGTATGTGTATGTTAAATAAATGTGTGTACAGATGTGTGCGTGACAGGAAACAAAATGCTCATAATGATATGGCAGAGTGGGAGAACGATAAGCATATTAGAATGTATTAGATAAGAAATTAAACAAGGCTAGAAGGTAGTAGATTGTAGTAGTCAGTCAGTTAGACTAGGTGACCGAGTCAAGTGCAAAGCCCTGTGCCTTCAGCAACGGACATCGGCTCACCGAAAACGAATATATGAAATTTAACCGTCCGTTTTAATTTTTTAACAAAATCAAGAAAATCATAAATTATTGTAAATGTTCAAAAATTCATAAAATAAACATTTATTATTATTAAAATATGTGAGAGAGAACAAAAAATTTAAAAAAGTTGAGACAAAAGATCGACACAGAAAAGAAAAAATTATTTTCTGGGTGATTTTTTGTGTATTTAAATAATTTACGGTTCGGCTCTGAATGATCGATTAGATGATACCAAGGACGTGGATTGATGGGATACGAATGTGGATGAGCGTGAGTGACATGAATTGAATATGGATTATGAAACAAAAAAAATAAATAAGAATCCCAATTCTTTAATTTTGGTTAACCGTAACTTAAACTACAATACTTGTAGAAAAACAAACAACTTGAATATCATTAAATTGCTTTTACAGCGTTATAGATAACAGAATTTGTTCTTGCATCAAAGCCATTCAATTGATCCAACAAAATAACGTACATCTAAATTAACATAAATAATAATACATAGATTATTTATATATTTACAATTATTATGCATAAAAAAAATATATTACACGACTCGAGATAATTTAAAAAGTTCTCGATATTATAACAATATAATCATATACTATTAATTAATTGTATGCAGTTATATTTGCTAGTACCTATCCTACCGTTCGCAAATAACGCTATAAACTTGAGCAATATATTTAAATGAGAAAAAAATAAATAAAAATCATTAATTGATGAAAATTCATGAAAGATAAAAGTAATAAAATACATTATTTTAAACGATATTTTGGTAGGAAACAAAAGATACAAATTAATAAAATGACAATTAATTCGAGTAAAAAATAAAAAAAAAATTTGCGAAAAATAATCCAATGTCATTGCACACAAATTTCATATTATTAATAATCTACGTGTCATGTTAAAAAATAAGAGCGCAGTATGTTATTGAAATTAAAATTATTGTCATCGTCATTAAAATACATATATGTACATTTTGTTTTAGATCACTTTGGAGTCTGAATATATATCAGGTTGTCTATAAATCATGTTCGATACATTATCCATTAAAATTATTTAAAACTTTTTTATTTTACTGTAAAAAAAATAGAGTGTTTCTCGTATATTTTGGCTCCAGGGCGATTTATTGAGGATGACATAATATCCATTTAACAATACGTAATGCCTCTAGGCAGACACTGCCACATTGCAGAATGCGAGAACACCATGATAACGTTGTCAATGCAAAAAAAAAAAGATTGCGTAATAAAATGCTCGAAGTGCAAAAGTAAAAATTTTAACGTTGTATATATATATGTATATGTAATTAATTCGCATATTTATACATATATAAATACATATATGTATCGCTACTCAATCACTGAGCCTCACCATTGCCGAAATTTCATTAAATTTTACTATTTCAAGTTTGTCGTATGTCTATACACATTCATGATAACAGAAAATTAACAAAAAAAGTTTTAAGAAATTTTTAAATTACAAGTACGATGACATTGCGATATCACATTACGTATATAGCTTCAACTTGCTCGTACCGCGAGGTTAATCAACATTAATGAATAATTATGAGTATAAAATACTAACTGAAAAAGAATAATAAAAAAAAAAAAATGAAAGTTGTAATGTTGTTGGTTAAATGAAGGGTTCCGATGGTACAAAATCTCTGAGGAAAGAATAAACAACAATTGTTTTGTATACAATTGAGATTTTATATAGATATATTCGAAATTATATTTATAATAGAATTGTAAGATTTCGTTTTTAATACCAGTGATCTTCTTCTTTAACATTGTATATTTTGTTATATTTTTCTACATTTTAATTTCGATGTTTTAATATATTTTAATGCTATCAAAAGTTCGTACTCTTTACTTCGTACTATTATTTCTATTTTTTCTGTTAAATAAATATGAATAAAACACTTTATTATATAATACTCTTTTTTTTATTTAAAATAAAAACTATACACAAAAACTTTCAATTTTTAAAAAATTACAACGACACTTTGTAACCGATAAATAAATACCAACGGAACCCGAATGAAGAGTTTTTATGATGTAATTTTAAAAAAATGTCATTAAATGCTAATAAAAAGTTTATAAAAATTACTATAAATAAAGACTTTAGCCTCGTGGTTCAGCAGATTTAAACTGTTATCTTTATATTTGCGGTAAAATAGTCAAAAAAGGGAACGTGGACGGCGGGTCCAAAAAAGCATATACTTACAAACACCGTGTTCAAGCCTTTCAAAATTTCAAGACTTTGCTGTCGAGTATACGTCGACAAAAATATATTTCCGCATTATAAAATGCGAATAAAATAACCGTATATCGCGTCAGACGATCTATACAATATTACAATTATTTTATCTATAACACGCAACCTTAATTGCTATAGATATAGCACGTTATATTTAAGCGCTCGTTTTTTCATATTTTACAAAGAAAATGAAATGATATAAAAAAATATATATATAATAAGGAAAATAAAAAAAAGTCTTATACATTCAATTCTACAATCACTGCCAAGGGCGTTATTGTTGACGTCAGTTTCGTTGTCTAGATGTCATTTTTTGGCCTCGCACGTTACAATTCGATTACTCGGAACCGCGTGTGGGTGATTGTTCATAATACTGCCAAGTATAGAATCAAGTCTCGGTGTTTTTAAAATAATAAAAAAATTAATGAAAGCTGTTGAAAAGACCAAAAAATAATAACTTCATATTTTCTAAATAGACATCCATTTGTCTATTTGGAAGTGAAAAATTTTTTGTCCTTCTACTTCTCTGTGAAAAAAATCATTATTTGATTAAGAAAAAATCCGTCTATCGCGTTATTATTGTCGTTATCGGTATTATTTGCATTATTGTGTATAAATAAGAATAAAAGACCCGCCCTCCTCGGTGCCGTCAGTTCACACCGACTATTTTCTATTGCAAGGTGTACTAAAAAAGAAAAAATCTAACTGCACATGTAAAAAAATTCGTAATGCACATTGTGTACTTTATTTTGTTATTTATTTATTTATTTTTATTTTCATTCTCTCCATTATTTTGACTTTTTTAATTGTTAACAAAAATTGATGGAAGAATAGAGAAAAAAGAAAAATTATCTATTACTTGTACCAACATTAGCACACTGTAGGCTTACTTATGCAGCGCATTTTGCTAAGTAAATAGTAAATTTATTGTAACTTGTACAGTAAATTAAATTAAAGAAAATTGGTATTTAATAAGAAATAAAAAATAATAATAATTATAATGGGAAAGTTGCAACAATTAGAAATGTATTAGTTAATAAATCTTTGATATTTATTGATAAAAGAATTGGAAAAGAAAAAAAAAAAGAAAGAGGTCAAGAGTAATTAGCAATTGACGAAATTGGTGCTTTGGAATAAATTAGACTGAATTATTGTTGTATATTTGTTTAAAAAATTAACTCTTGGTAATTATGAGTAATTTATCTGTTAAGTTAATTATTGGAAAATTTTCTAAATTTATATTTAAGAAGTTTTCTGTATTTATTACATAAATTAGAATGCATTCGAAAAATAAAAATAACTTAATCTACATAAGATCATAATAACACGTGACTCTCATTAAAACCAAATGAGAAACAATAAGAAACATTGTAATAATAAATATCCGATGGTAATGAATAAAAGAATCGACAAATATTTAAATGTGCATTCAATTTGAAAAAATTATGGTGTTGTGCGCTTGAAAAAAAAATCATTAAAAATTGAAACAAGCTTAGCGTGTCTTTATCAATATTATATTCTAATGATTACGATAAAAAATAATAATACAATAATAATTTTAATGACTGTAATGGTCTTTAAGAATAATAGTTTAATTGAATGAGAAAATTATTAGCAAGCAGCAGCTGCATTGATCATTTAATACACAACAAGCGAACAGTCTCAAGTTGAGGCATAGACTGATTGAGTGATAGTGAAACTCGTGTAATACTATGTTGCTGTATTGTATGTATTGTATTGACATTCTACATAAAATGATGTACGTGATTTCACTGCTCTCATTGATTACTGTTGAGTCAATTGTAAAATGAAACCAGTGGTGACTGGTTTATATTCAAATAAATAACAAAACAAAATATGATTAATTGATAGTAAAATTTAATTGCCGTTTTGATATAGTGAATTTTGCAGAATCCTACAATAATAATAAGAATAAGTGAACCAAAGAGAGCAATGATTTAGCACGCTTCTATAGCAAAAATAGCAAATTGAATCACATCAGGAAAAAAACCGATAACATTGAGTGGATTTGTCGTTGATTTAATCAATAATAAAATACGAAAACCGGACAACAGATGACAAGATAAACATGAGCTCGAATAAAGATACTTGTCAGAGTCGATGATAATAATAATAATAATAATAACAAAAAAAAAATAATGAAAATAATAATTAATAATAATCGATAAATTAATTATAATATTAATTATAATAGTAATACATAAATTAAAAAATAATAATATTAAGCTGTAAATTGAAGAAGGGAAGAAAACCTATTGAAATTGATAGCAGAATAACAGGCGTAACGAAAATTGTCACGGTGTTTGTGTGCGCAAGTGTATATATGTGTATGTATCGAGTCTATTTGATGAAGATGTATGATGATTATGCGTTAAACAGAGAAAAAAAATGATTAAGAAAGTGTCGATATTTGTTATATTCGACCTGATTTGTTAAAATGACGGAATCTCTATTTAAAAATGTAAGTAAGATGGTGATAGAAATTTATAGTTAAAGACATAAAATAAAAGAAAAGAATGGCATTATATTTAAATGCTGACTTGATTGATCCGTCATTTTAACATAATTCCTTTGGAATACGACTATTGTGTATATAAATTAGAAAAAATTAGATTTTAAAGGAGTGATATATTATAACAGAAGGTGAAATATGAAGGCAAATATAGTTAGCAAGCGAAGATGATAATTTTTTTGACTTATCGAAGAGCTTTAGTTATTTGTTAAATTATTTTCTTCTCTTTAATCAATCTAAATTATGTCAATTAAATATATCCCTAGTAATTAAATGTACGTCAGACTTTCAAAAAACTAACGGAAGAATACGTTTGAAATTATTCATCAGTTTTACGTACGTCTGCTATGTTTCTTAGGAGCAGTCGTACGTAAGATTCTCGTTGGATTCTAACGTAAGATGTTCTCTTTTGAAATGAAACAGTGAAAATAATAAAATACACTGCAAAATCAATGAATATTCACTGATTTTGCAGTGTGTTTCATTATTTTCACTGTTTCATTTTTCGAGAGTAAGATGCAGATGAGATTTTGAATTCTCATCTGAATTTTACAGCAGATTAACGTTGGTCTAATGCCGGCATGTTTACGTCAAATTTCAACGGGAATCTTACGTACGATTGCTCCTAAGAAATATAGCAGACGTACGTAAAAGTGACGTTGATAATGTACGTAAGCACTGGTTACTAGGGATATAAAATAACTAATTTTTTGTGTTTTTTTCTAAGAAATATTGGTGATTTTTTTCTATGAAAAAATTATTTTTCACGTTCTATCGCTATGAACAATGTATAAATGAAAAATAACAAAATCAAGCATCAATTTAATAGTTGTAATAAATAGTTCGATAATTCAATTAGTATTTCAGTCGTAGCATTTTACCGAAAAAAATAACAAAATAGAATTTTTTACAATGCTGTTATTATTCTTGTACGTTGCGTCCTCATTTTTTTTCTTTGATCTATTGAATTTTTAACCCAGAAATGTACATAGGTGCTTCTAAAGAGATTGTCGTTGAAGGTCATAATGTTATAAATACATTAATAACAAACTAAGTTATAAGTGAGTTTACTCTATACATAAAATGCTGTATTCATAATAATACATTAGGTGCATTAATATTATACATAAGTATTTTCTTACAGACATGAAAATGCTTCACACTCCGATTGTAATAAATAATACATTGTATCCTGCCGATTGTATATAATTGTAACGTTTCTTAGTAGTTGATTATTTAAATTATTCCCTCTATTAAGAGATTACAATTATAACAAATAACTTATCATACAAATATATATTAATAAACAAGGATAATAAAAAAACAAAATATATAAGTATATTTTCGAAAATTAAAATTCAAGAGTCAGGAATAAGCATAATTAATAAAAAAAAAAAGTATGATCTATACTGGAAAAAAAGAATTACCTGGAAAAACAATTCATCGAAATGTTTTATTTATTTCATTTTTATGTGATCCATTTTTTATTTTAGAATTTTTCCAATTTAAAGACAATCGTTGGACTAATCATTTTCAGCTAACAAAGCAAAATATTAAAAATAAATTTAGATTGAAAAAAAAAGTGAATTTCATAAATACTTGTTTTTTTCTTTATGAGAACACGTTGGTTTTTTTCATTCGAAAAATGAAGAAGTGCCTAGATCCAGTAGAACCGGAAATTACAATGAAATGATACATAGTGATGTTTTATCTTACTGGTACAAGTATAAATAAAACTGCAAAGTAAAAAAAATTTTCGATTAACTCAACTAAAAAAAAGTAAAAGAAAAGATACACATTATTTTTCGGATTTTAAAAAACATGAAGATTTAAAGGTATTTTTAAAAAATTAATCATTGAGTGAAAACGATATTTATTTTATTGCCACAACTGAAGAAGAGCCAAATAATCAGATTTGCTATTCTATCAGATGTAGATTAGAGTAAAAAGAAAAAAGGAAAAAAAATACTTGCAATTTATTTTAATGGAACAATGCAACTTGTATAAAAGATAAAATGGCCCTCGCAAAAAGTTTTTTAAACATCACGTGTCTTAGTACATATGGACAATGTACTCAGTTTTGAGTACAAAAATACAAATTTTCCGAGTGATGATAACATATGTCGAATTATCTCTTTAGATGCATCTACTTAGATATATTTCTAGGGTAAGGAATTCTTGGAAAACCAATATACAATAATAAAAAATGAATAAACAAAGAATGGGTATAAATTATAAAAAGCAAAAAACGTATTACATCGTATACGTTAATTGCATCAGTTGTTAATCGTGCAAAATGAAATTTTAAACATAATAAAGAATAAATATATTAATATTTACTCTTGCAAAAATGAAAAATTAACTTATAAGAAAGGTGTATAGGAGCAGCAAGTGGCTCTAGTTGTATTATTACAATAAATAATATTAAAAATGATTATGCATGATAAAATGACGTTGTCTTTAATGACATTCTATTAATTAAAAGATATTTGTATGTATTTAAGTTTTAAGTATAATAGTTGAGAGATATAATTACAAAAAGGTATAAAAATTTAATATTACTATACTTTTCCTTAAGTTTAGTCAACTATTAATTATAATTGACAGTATAATTAATTTTTATTGTTATTGATTAATAATGATATTGATTAATCAATTAATTATGATAATTAAAGCGTGCAATATGTACAAATTTTGACTAAATTATCTTTTTATATGAATATATATGCGATAGGTCCAGAGTTAACTTAGAAATAAAATCAACATAATTAAATTATCAAAATAATAAATAACCCATCAAAAAACATCACACATTGATACAAGGTAAGAAACAAGGTTTATATCTGATGCATATTATTTTTATTTTCAGTTGTTTTTTTACATAAAAACTTTCATCTGGATCTTGTTATGTATTGATGTGGTACAATAATATTACGTTTATCAAATTAATTTTCCAACACAAATGCAGTTCTCTTTTTTCAATCTTTCAAATTAACACAATTATTTCTATCATTATTTCATGCCCTTATAATTTAAATCAGTAAAGAATCTAATTTATTAATAAATGTCATTCATTCTCGTTGGTATACTTGAAAATGGATCAATTATCAAAAAATTTACTGCAATTTTACTGATTTAAATTTAGAGTATGTAACTTTAGAATTAGTAAGTATTATAACATTATTCACTAAACTTAATTAATTCAATAATAATCATAATACATATGCTCAGATATCTTTTAAAAGTTACTTTTAAAAAAAATGAAAGATATTTTTTTTATTACAAGAGAGATCTTCTGATAAAAGTGTATATATACAATGATAAGTCTATTTCCTTTTTTAAAATTATTTCGTTTGTTGTTATTTATTAATATGCATATTTTATGAACGAAATTTGTTGAATATGATATTTGAATCTTAATTGTTAAAACTCTTAATGCGTTACATACATACTTAATTACTTATTAATCTAAATTAAAACAGTTGTAAAATTTTTTACAACTTGACAATTGATGCAAATGATTTTCACGTATTAAAATTTCTTCTTTGATTATTCATAACAGTATGAGAAAATTAATGATGTAACAATATTTGGATTTTTATTTTTAACAGCCATCACTTTAATGCATAATCATTTAAGATAATCCACATACCATATTTTAGTCTGAATAAAAATAGTCTTCTAATTTGTACATATGCATATGCATATAAATGATGACATAGTCAAAGAAAAATATTTTTGTTGAATGCTGTTTCATTTACATTACTTTTAAAATTATTTCATTATACTAATGACATATAAATATTCCTATGATACAAGTTATGCATAAATATTATAAATAATTACAAATACGTGACCTCAACGATTCTTGATTGTTTCTTTCAAATTTAATAATGATTCATATTCAACAACTTCTCCTTACATTACCTGAAACAAAAATTTATTTTAACTCTCTCAATTGGACTAATGGTTCGTAAAAATGATTTATTTATTTCAATGGAAAATGATATTATACCAAACACTGCATTTGTCGTATGGATTCATCGGTGATCCTACTGGACAATTGTATGCTTTAGCAAAATCTATGCTATTCGACAAAGTGCCCATTACTCTTACGGAGCCTGGTGGATGTTCACTGCTTCGTACTTCTATCAGAGCATGTTCTGGGGTCATCGTTCCACACCAGATTTGAGCATAATTGAGGAAAAATAGTTGGTCATGGGTCATATTAAGTCCAGGAAGTATTGGTTCTGGATCATGAGTATCAGCCCATTTTTTATAGGCCTGAAAAATGTCATTTCTTATAAAATAACTATAAACATTGAATTAAATCAATTAAATATTTAAGAGGGAAAATACCAAAACTTTCTTTGAATGTCATTCTCTGATACTATAAATATTGCTTTTTTTAAAGAGATTATTAGACATAAATTAAGTTATTTTTAAAGGTATTATTATTTTTGTTGAATTGGAGATCTCTAAACTGGACTATAGGGTAGAAAAAGGTATATGCAATTGTTACCCGAAATGCTTGCTTCAATCCTCCATTGTCGGCAATATTTTCACCCTGAGTCAATTCACCATCAACCGTTAGATTAATTTCTCTTAGTTTATAACGAGAATACTGGTCAACTATGCACTTCGCTCTTGCCCTGAAAGCTTCTACAGTAGAATTATTCCACCATTGCATCAGATTTCCATCTTTGTCATGCTGTCTTCCCTTGTCATCGAAACCATGAGTAATCTCGTGTCCAATTACTACTCCAATACCTCCATAATTAAGAGATTTCGGGAAATGTTGAGAGTAAAATAATGGTTGGAGAATTCCCGCAGGAAGAACTGAAATAGAAGTGAAAATAAAATTGTTTCAATCAGTTGACTTTTTTCTTAGAGAAAAGAAATGATAAAAGATTATTTCTATTTTACCAATATCATTTTTATTTGGATTATAAAATGCATTAACTACAGCGGGCTCCGTTGACCAGCTATTCTTATCAACTGGTTGGCCAAACCTAGCGAGATTCCGAGCTGCATGAAACCTCAAAACTGTAAAAACATTTTCCAGAAATCTATCTCTTGAGATGTTGAGCTACTGAAAACAAATATAAGTATTACCGGACAAAAAATATGTTTGTTCATTAGAAACTCAATGTTTATTAAACGATATAAATAAATTTATGAATATTATTCATCATTATATAACATATAGATGTCATAAGACCAACTGATTTAAAGAAAATTATAACAATCATTAAATTTTATGAAACTATCATTCTATTCTAAATGATCTAGTTATTAGTTTTCATTCCCTTTTTGGAATTTAAAATTTAGGTCAACTTATTTTTGCAAAGATAATATTTGCATTCAAAATTTATATGACATATCATAAAACAGAATTCTAAATAAAGTTTATCAAAATGTGTGTACAAAAATACGAATTAATCTCATGAAATTGAATTGGCAAACCGGTATTTGCATTTTACACTGTTTTTATATTTCTGCGTATGAAGTTGAAAAGTTATTTGATCCAAGTTTCATTTTAATTTTACAAGCAAAATCAACAGCTTTTTACATACATGAATGCAAATATTTATTTTCAATTCATATAACATTTATTACTATTTTTATTCTTCAAACTGTAATATTTAAATGCTGAATCATCCGAACTTTTAACTGGAAAGTAAATTTATTGGAAACTTTTCATACTGCACAACTTAGTTCAAAAAGTTATTATTATCACATTAAGCTGCAATTTATGTTTGCTTACAACATTTATAAATGAGTTAATTATACAAGGATTAAAAAGATGATAGAAAAATTAGATAATGCTACTTACCATTTCATATTCTTTAGAAAGTAAATAAGGGTTTTTAATATACTCTGGAAATCCAATTCTTTCATTGATTGAATTAGCTTTGATTTTTGCTACAGCCCGCGTTTCGTCATCCATCCAATGATTTTCATCCAGAAGTTCATTGAACGCCTCTCTAATATTGTGAATCATCTCCAAAGCTGTACTCTGTATAGAATTGGTTTTTGATTCTTTGTTAACTTCTATGAATGATATCATTTTTCAAATAGTCACCATGCTTTTAGAGTCAAAATGATCTCGAACAAATAATGCCCCAACGGCCGTTCCCATCTTTTTATTCGTCCATTCAACGCACTGAGAGTATCTACTTCTTTCACTTAAAACTCCTAGGAGAGTTTTCTGGAATTCGATGCGTTTTTGCTGGTAATCATCAATCATATGTGGCAATACTACCATCACTAAACGCCACAGAAAATAGTTATACAGAACCCTGAAATGATAAAGTTATATAATTGCTGCAAATAAGATATTGAATTTTAAAAATATCATTGAAATGAAGAAATGATTAAAAGTTGGAAATTTGTCATTTAAAAAGTAATTTAAAGAATCAAGTAAAATAATTCTGTTAGCCAGTTATCTTAATATTTATATTAGATAATTTATTATAATTCAAATTGCTTGATTATCATTTTTATATAATTTATTAAAATTAGTTTAGAAGTAATTCGTTAGATTGAACATGAAGCTTGTGAGAAATTATAAACTTAGTGAAATAAATTTCTATTTGAATGAACTATGGTCAAGTTGATACTTGGTAACTTTACTTTGGAACAACTTCATAAGTTAATAGAAGGAACAATATAACATACCTTTCATCAGTTTCCTGAATAATTCGTCCCATTTGAATAAAATATGGCATCGCATAAGATACTACAAGTTCATCATCAGTTATTGAAGCATTGACAAAAGTCTGGAAATAGGTTCTCCATTGAATCTGAGGAACTTTTCGCTGTAGTTCTCTCAAAGTCATCTTGCGATAGTTGGCAGAGGTATCTCGACGATCAGCTCCAGGTACAGTTGCCTATAAGACTACTATACTTAAGCTTTTCCATTACAAAGTGTATTAATCAATTAGCGGATAGATAAATAAATAAAAATACATTAGCTAATTTTATTTCAAACGAAATAACTTTTTGTAATTCATCCGCAGCTGTGCGAGGATCTGCTCCAAGTAAAATAGCTACTTCGGTCATATATTGTTTGTAAGCTGCTCGTTCAACTGCATTGTTAGGATGCAGGTAATAATCTCTGCTAGGAAGAGCTAACTGCATCTGATCTATCTGAAAATTGTATCATTTTTTATTGCCACTTGAGTTGAAATAATGAAAACAGTTTAGAGGTTTAAATGGTAGCACACCTGCAGGATATTGATCGAGGAATTTTTATCGTCGGGTCCTATCCACTGATCAAGAAGAGCTCCTTCATTGAATTCTCCCCTCATATGACCCAGAAGAACCTCAATTGATTCATTAGGACGTCTCCAAGTTCTTCCTTCAACAACTGGCCAACCACCAAACTTTTTTAATGCTTCTCTGAGCGGAATATCTCCGATCTTTTTAATTTGCGCTGTAACATTAATAAATATTTATTTTTCATTATCATATTTAGCTTAAAGTTAATTGATAAATGAATTATTTAGAATGAAGTTTGTAATAAAATTTTCAAACCAATAAAGAAAATGATTTATTTTTGGATGTGATGAAGATAATGTTTTTAATAATATTTACCAATATCCATGCATGATCTGTAGAATACTTTTGCTTTTATTGTCGCATTGTTGTCGGCGTCATTGAGCGGTTCTTCCAATATTTGCTTCAGAGTAACCTGTAATTGATTGGTAAGTACTTCGAAGGTATTAATGGAGCTCTGGTCTTCAGGTATGATGTTCAATCGATTCCAATTACCGCAAGCATATTGGAAAAAATCGTTACAGGGTTTTACTGTTGTATCCATTGCTGATATTAAACTTGCAGCTTTTTTCATGAAAAACAGAAAGCAAATGATTGAAAAATATTAGCTATAGAAATGATGATAAAATGAGAAAAAATTGAGTAAAATTTTATTATGAACAAAACAAATAATTTTTTATTAAGTATTTTGTAGTAGTTCTTGAAAAAATGTAATGACTTTGAATATACCAATTGATATAATATATGAAGTCATGAAAACCAGAATGACCAACCAGTATTTTATTTTATTTTCATACTAGATCGGTCATTCCAGCTATTACGACATCACATGAATTATTTAATCAGTTGTTATTCTGACAATGATAAATATTTAGTAATTGAATGTTGAATTGTTGTAACTTTTTGTTTCTTTTTTTAAATAATAAAATAAGTTCTAGTGCTGCAATATGACTTAGTTCGTTAGAGTAACAAGACGGTTTATTGTATCTGTGCTGAAACAGTCACATTACCCCAAGACAGTCCTATCATACTATTATTACAAGTATAAGACACTATCCAATTATGATACCTCGGCACTATTTCATTGTAAGCACAATTTTTTGGTCTACATATGTATTGAAAAATAATTACTAAATATATTATATTTTGTTTAGAGATTTGTATATTGTACAAAATTGGATCAAATTATCTAGCTTCAAAATACATAATTTTTTCTGAATTAGACTTTTCTGTTATAATACAATTTACAAAAAAAAATTATTGGTTTTAAATAACATAAAAAAAACCCCTAAAATTAGAAAATAAATCAGTAGGATTTGTCAGAGATGACATTTCAAAGCTCGTAGTAATTTTCTCTTCAATTTATAGTTTCTGTAGTATGAGAATTTTTTTAAAAAAAAAAGAAAGAATAGAATGTCAAAGCAAAAAAGTCACCTCTAACTTTGAATGTTCATAACTCGTGAACAAATAATCCAATAAAATAAGTAAAAAAAATATTTTTTATCAAAAAGTTTCCGTTGCAATGAAAATAGCTTTTGTATGTTGGATTGTTTGTAATAAAAATCATTTCAATGGTGTGCACTCATCGTATATCAAAGAAAGAAAGTTGCTTTTGACTTCGAGAGCTTACAAACCGTAAATAAATAAGTCAATAAAGTGAATGAAAAAAGCTCTCATTGGAAAATTTTGTCATTGAAGTGTTAATTGAAAGTATTTGAAAGAAGACAAAGTTGACAGCATTCATGTTAACATTCAAGTTCTTTTTTTTATTTTTATAAAATTTATATCTTGGAATTCTTTTATCATTTTCCAGATTTTTTTATGCAATTAAACCGTAGACAGTTCAAAGTAGAACTGCCCGCATGTGTTCAATAGAAAAAGGACTAATTACAAGATATTGATTTTTTGTGAAATTATTGGACCTCAAAGTCAAAAGGGTCTTGCAGATTCAATCATGCTAGGAAGGCTCTTCAAGTCATACTCTAAAGAATTAATCTTTTTTGCAATTTGCATAATATATTTGTTTATTTTTTTTTTAAATTCACTTTCAATTTCATGATAGTTAATTTTAAAAAAAATTTATTGCTCTAATTTATATAAGAAAAATAATTACTTGAGAAAATTACAGATTGTTTAAAGTCAATAGATGATTCATCATAAATAAGGTAGAATTTCTAAAAGGTCCAACAATTTAGGGTTCTTGGACCTTTGAGAGGTAATAATATGTATGCTAAAATACAACACCAACTTGGGACAATAGTGTACCTGAATACTTCTAAGTACGGATTAATGTGAGCTAATTTGCAAAAATTTGTTGAAATCCTTAAATTATTTGAAGTGGTGATTTTAATTTCACCAGGAAATTGAAAGTTTACTAGAAAAAGTTCTTTAAAGAATGACTTAGCAATTTTCCAAAAGTTAACATTATGATTCAAAACATAATTTTCCACGAGTTTCAATAAATTCTCTTTAATAATATTAATGAAAATAAAATAGCTCAGAATCGCGTGTATGAAACAAGCTGTTCATCATATAATCACACTCACCTGTTACTACACATTCTTTGGACGAGCAAATGTCTTTAACTGTAAAAAAAAAATAAATATAATTTACTACAATCATTCACACAACATTTTTTTCATTTATTTCTAAATAAATTTATGTTAAGTTATCACACTTGTTCAGGATAGAATGTAAATTTGAGAATACATAAAAAGGACATAATCCTACCATAAATAGGTACTACCATAAACATTTAATTCGATTGAAACTGCCGACGAACATACAAAATATCTTCGGGTAACAATAAGTGGGTCGAGGTCTACGGGATTCGAAAGGTAATTTCATTTATTAATTTAGCAAAATTATTGGTGGTATAATGAGCCGGTAAAATCTTCAATGTTTTTACATCATAAAATTATATGTTATATTCAACATTTGATTGAACACTCTAATCATCTTTTTCTACCCTTGCGATTTATTCAAGGCTGTGTATATTATTTTAATTTTATGGATGATATCAATATTAGAATCTACGATAATATTCTTTTTAAAGCCAACTATTGGATTTTGATAATCAATAAATAAAATACGTATAATACAATATGATGATCGATGTAAAATTAACAGTATGCAATTATTTAAATTATTGCAAACATTTTATATTCTAAATATTTGTTAATTTTAAAATATAGTAGTGATAACTCTTTTTTGGAAAAATATCATGTTTTTATGAATAAACAATTTTGAATAAAAATTTAATGATTTATTTGGCTCAATATATGGAACTAAATGTAAATAAATCTCCACATGAATCATGGTAAAAATAAAACCGTTACATATTAAAATGTATCACGATGAATATTCAGAGTAAAAAAAACACGCGAATGACATTGTAAACAAACTTATTCAGTACAGGTCGATTATTTAGATACTCTTTAAAAATATTCTAAATAATTTGAGAGCCACTTTCTATATTTCTAATTTCTTTCACGACTTTCTTTACTTTTATTTGTCATTCTTAATTACCCGAACCAAATCTATTCAAAACAATTTTGCATACAAAATATCAAGAACATTTTATGAACGATTTATCGAAGTATTTTGAAAGAAAACAAAATTTAATTACAGCTAGATAGCTTGTTTACTTGATACCTAGATTATTCTATCTAAATAACAGTTCATTGGTGTGAAATTTCATTATATTACTCCGATATAAATGATACTTCTATTATCCTATTGTTTACTAATTAGAAATCATCTATTCAATAGCTCAATTGATTTTGTTCTTTTAGATCATTTGATAAGTAAAAATTATTCTCTAATTTTTTAACTCTAATTAAATTTAAAAACTTACGTTCGGTATATTGTCTCCAGTAATAATGCCCCGTCACGATGATACAACCAAGAAAAAGTCCCACTAGACCACAAATAATAAGAGCACATGATCCATCCCTTTCCCACCATTTTTTTCTTTGAGGTACTGGAGATTCTGGAAGTGCTGGAGATGGACGAGGTGCCTGAAGCACACGAGATGCGTGAGAAGGTACTGAAGAGGCCGAAGAGGCTGCTGAGAATCTTTTCGAAGAGCTTGGAATAATTATAGTCTTCGTCTGGGTACTTCCACCTGGCATATAAGTTAGCTGCGACAAAGAATTAAATAAATTTTTTTAACCCAACATACACTTGGATTTAAATAATTAATTAATCAATAAAATATTCTTCATAATATTCCATTGATTATTAATACAGGTGTTGCATGATATGTACTTCAATTGACTGCGTGTCAGGAGAGGCAACTAATCGGGCTTCGTTAGGTCCAGGTGTCTTGAATGCAGGATCATCGGTATCAAATGGCGTAATCATTGTGAAAATAGTGTTGCTATTCCGACTTTATCATATGTCCAATTCACTAATCTACCTGCCCATGAAAAAAAAAACAGAAAAATTAATTACTAATGTTTATTTTCTACATTGGCGCTCATCTGTTGATTTTGCCACGAGTTAACGCGGCAAAAGTGTATTCAAATCCAAAAAAAATATCGAAAACATAATGATGTTATCAATTAACAATATGATTTATTTTTCAGTTAATTCTACTTGAAAATAATAATTGATTATTTTAAATACATTACCGTGTAATTATCTTCACTTATTACTATTTATTTATGTCAAAAAAAATTCACTAATAATTTCAATCGGTATCTATTTAATAGATTTTTTTCGTTAATTTATCATAAAAGTAAAAAATGTATGATAAATTTGTCAATTATGTCATCAGAAAAATAAAGTTTCAAAAGTAAAGTATAAAGTGAAGAATCTAAACTAATAGTTACTACACTATTGGTAGTCGGTGCTACACTGAAGGGAAGCATGACAAGGTGCAGCCGTGGGGTGTAGTTGAGGCGGTGGGAAATAACACCTTTCGCTCGCGCGCGCTTTTGCTAATTTTCGCCTGCCCAGATCTTCATTAATTATTGCCATAACGTGCTTGGTAATTTCATCTTGTTTACTTCATTAATTTGATAAACATTTCGATATAATACATGAGCCCAGTTATTCATCTATAGCTCCAACTGCTAATTGTTTGATTTGTTTTGATACACAGGAATGTGAAATCTGTTTTCCTATGCGTGAAAAACTATTTACTCGTGCTTGTTATTGCAGGTCGATATACCTGCACGTCTGCGCACTGAGCTAAAGAGTTTCACATTTTCTTAAGATAATGTTTAATAAATTGTGCTTTCCTTCAAGGGGATATTTTAACCCACAAGATGTTGATGGTTTCTTTTCATTGTTATTGAATATGTTATTAGCATTCTATCATCAACTCCATTTATACTTCCCCACGTGTAGCAATTTCGGAAAGCAGAATTTATTTCAACTGTATTTTTGAAAATCTAGAGTTTTGGAGTCTTGTGAATGTAGAAGTAAACCTGGTGACTTGGTTATTTATTTTTAATTATTAAATCAAGTCAATTAATTAGTCAAAATAATCTTTCTTTAGCTTCAGTAAAAATGTCTTACAATACTCAGTAGTTCAATAGACGAGATATTTTACCCTCGAGACATGAATTACTACCATGCTTTACCCATCTCTAAAAGAAGCGAACAAAAGACTTAAGAAACGTAGTAGATATTAATTTATAAGTTAATAAAAAGAACTATAAATAACTTCAATAATATTTACTTAAATTTGTCGGTTTTTGATTACAAGAAACGAATCAATTCATTCCTTAAGCTAACGATTCAACACTTAGCGTTGGTAGAAATTCAATAAATCATTTCTGCAACAAGTATCTCAGAAGGTCATGCAACTTCAAATCAGAGGACAGATGCAGGTACTTGGATTTATTACTTGTTCGTTAAATAGAAGGATTATGTGGGATTCGTGAAAATCGTTTAATTTCAGGTTTTTTTTATTCAACATCATCTGAAAAGTTACTTGAGAAATATGTCACTCGAATATTTCTCATGCTTTTCAAATAAATATCATGCAGGTGGTATATAAAATGATAAGAAGATGGTGAATTATATTCTAGGATTATTTGGTATTTGCTAAATCTTCCATTAATGCTTTCTGTAGTAAACTAGTTGGAGAAGCTTTCGTAAATTTTTATAGGGCAAGAGGCATAATCTAGTATTTGTGGGAATTATTAAAAAAGTTTAATGAGTTTTAAATGATTCACAATTAAACCCAAGTCATAGTTTAATGAATGTTCTGTATCCGCATAATAACAGTCTTCATACCATGACAAGTATTCATTTTAAAATTATTTAATAATTCATGAACTGTTCTTGATATTTAATATGAGTTGGAAATGTAATTCTATCATTGTCATTTTTATATTAATATTATCAAACAAACGAAAATGATAAGATGGTAATTTAGTTGAAAATTTAAAGAAATCAATTTAAAGTAGACGTCAATATTCATTTAGTTACTAGATTAAATATTATGATTGACTATTTCTATCTTGAATCGAGAATAATGTGACAAGTTGGAAAACTTGTTCAATAATAATAATAATCTAGTATATTGCGCTTTTCAATATGCTTGGTGATATTAACCATGAATAAACATGTAATGGCAAATGATTTATGCAACATTGTACATTACAAATTAATTCAAATAATACTATATAGAATTTGAAATTTAATCCAATACAAATCAATTAAATTCATCCCATATTAATTGAACATTCATGGATAATTGAGTAGAAAACATAAATAGTTATTTTTATTAAATGTTTATTAAAAAATATTATTTACAGATATTTATACTAAATCATTTTATGTAACTACATTTTATACTGCAGAAACTTAATAAAAACTTGTGTTTTAAAATACTAGTTATTAATGGCATATTTACAAATATACAACTTCTTATAAATATACTTAGACTAAAAACTTGAAATTAATAAATTATATCTGAAAATATGTAATAATACAATTAGAATTCTCGCCTTACATCTTACATACAGCCTAATTTTATATTTGGTTATTCAGGCATTTTGGACTCGAATTCATTTTTCAAGATTTATAAACTAACTTATAAAATGATAAAAAATATTATATTACTTATAATTTAACATTTACTATCGTACTTCCTTATCGTAACGTAAATACAGAAGAGGTAATTGAATAATTATTCAGTCATGTCAAATGTAAAACAATAAACGATCTATAGTATTATTTATACAAAAATACTGGCTTTTTTGCTTATTGTTTTACTTCTTTTTTTTTTGATTTTTCAAAATTTATCAATCAACAATTAATATTGAACACATATATTTTCACTTGTAAAGTGGATTTTCTCTAATAAACGCGATCTTGGTAACCACTATCTGCTGTACTAGTGGTAGGCCTATAGAGATTTGTAGTAGTAGGTTTTTGGGCATTTTCTCTATCATTACTTCTTTGTGTTGAAGCCAGGTACTCAAACATACTTTGTTTGTATTGTGCAAGCATTTTACTTAAATCACTAGGCATAGGGTCAGTCCAGAAGAAATTATGATTTAATGCAGCGTCTGCATTATACCTTTTCGACGGGTCAATAAGAAGAAGCTTATCCAAAAGGTCACAAGCAAGAGAGTCTTTTATGTAGGGTTTCAGTCTTTCTTTTACCTGAATGAACAGATAGACAGTTATAATTAGGATTTTCCATCAATATTATGACATAATCGTTATTGATGTACTAATGTTTTTCGAACTTACTTTTCTTTGCTCTCCCATGGGTAAATCCATTTTTTCATACAATTTGAGATTTTGTACATTGGGCCAGACATCAGGAGTAATAGATCCGCATAATTGAGATATTAATTCAAGCTGGTGTTTTTCAGTTCTTCCTTGCAATATAGCATACCTAAATGAATAAATATAATATTTATTAAAAAGTAATTTAACATTGACGGATGAGTAAAAAAATAAAATAATATTCTCGTTGCGATTACTTCAAATGATGATAATGTATAGCTTTCAATTAATTAATTTTCTTTTATATTTACCTTGTCCACAATTCCGCCATTATACATCCAGCACTCCATATGTCGATTGCAGTATTATAAGTGCTATCTCCTAACAATAACTCAGGTGCTCTGTACCATAAAGTTACTACATTCGTCCGATTATCAGAAGCTTTATTTCTTCTAAATGCTTTAGACAGTCCGAAATCAGCTAATTTTACAACTCCGTTTTTAGTAATAAGAATGTTTGCTGATTTCAAATCTCTATGAAGAATCTGTAATGTAAACAAATATGATTAATTTCGAACTTGATTGAAAAAAACAATTATTTAATCATTTAAAAAATGAAATAATGGTTATTTACGTTATTAAAATGTATGTAATGTAATCCTTCGAATAATTGTTTCATGATGGTTTTGACCTCACCGAGATTGAATTTAACTTTACGGCAGGATAATAGTCCAGCTAGGTCATGTTCACAGAATTCAAAAATGAGGTAGAATGATGAGCGAAAATTGTTTTGTGGAATAGCTGTAAAAGTAAAATGAAATTTTAATAATTTATGATTGGGAATTATTTTTTCTTTTTAAAATTTATCTTCACACCTTGTGTCCGGCAAACTTCTACAAGATGCACTATGTTTGGATGGTTTAATAGCTGCAATATTCTTATTTCCCTAAGTGAAGTTATAGGAAACTAAAAATACGAAAGATACATAAGTACCAGTATACTAATTCCGTTTAGAGCAATTATGATTTATGACACCTACCCCTTCTTCACCCTCATTGTGAATTAGGACTTTCTTTAACGCCACCAAATTTTTTTGGTTTTTCCTCTCCCTTGCTTTAAAGACCTCTCTGAAAGAAAGGTGATAAAGGTACTTAGGTAAATATAGGATAGAAGGAACAGGTAGTCAATTATTAGCAGAATTTTCGTGAAATAACGGAATGTAGTATAATGAAGCAATAATATTAAAAATGTAATGTTTAAACTACTTTTTATCAAACTGTTTTTACTTATAATTAAAATAACTTTTCATGTATTCCAGTATTAAAAATTAACATCATGTAAACTAAAATTTTAGGTTAATTGAGTATATGTCAAGGTAGCTGACAAATAATTGAGAAATTCATTATTAAACATATGAAAAACTTTATTTCTTAAAATCACAATTTAATATTTTAATTTAAGAACAACCAATCTATTATATTAACTAACAATATCAAATTTACAATTCATTGTTTTGATTCACAAAATGTAAACATGTTGTAATTTTAATGCTTACCCATATGTACCGTGGCCAATTTTGAAAAGGGTTTCATATTTCGAAAAAACTTCATCACAGTATGGGAATTGGCAACCATTCATGTATTTTTCCATTTGATTATATTTGTTATTCATTGCAATAAATAAGAAAAAACAGAACAAAACAAACTAACAAACACACTGAACTATCACCTTCACAGGACTGAGCAAGACTGGCGACGACAGACCGAAACACAGCAGTTTTATCACTAGCGAAAGGCACTGACTATAGCATCAACGGCGTGAACTGCAACTACTACAGTCACTGCTCTGATGGTAACAGTTTCGTCGGTAATTGAGAGATTGCACTGTTCAACTGATAAACAACCTTTTTTATCTGATGTTGGCGTGCATGAATTTAAATTTTTTTGGGACTTTTTAATTTCATGAATTTTTAAAGTCAGATGAACTTTTTATCATTTTTATTCATAGAAAATTTGAATTATATAAAGGAAAATAAATTTATATAAAAAATAATAACACTGGTATATAATATGCTTTTTATTATATTTAATATCTATTATCCATGTTTACATTCATTAATATTTTACCTATATTATTCACAATAACAATTACAGCAATTGAGTATGTAAAAATTTTTCATCTGCATACATCCTTTTTTTCATTTATGTATAATATTTACACATCCCTGAGGCTTATACTACATTTATATGTATAATTACAATTTCGTTTTATATTACATACATTATTCTCATGACAAATACACTCAATTACAGTGAAAAAATAAAAAAAAATATATAAAATCAACCATTTACATTAACAAGCAAGTTTACTATAAAAATCACATTTTCATACATTTATAAAAAAATAAATATTACATCATATTCGTTGATTATTTAATACATAGAAAAAATTATTTTAAACAAAAACTCCAATACAATACGTTTGCTAGAATGAAATTTTAACACATCATTTATAATACATTCGAAAATAAGTCAATAATAGCTATTATATTCTACTAACTTTCATGTTCTAAATACAAATATACAAGTTGAATGTCTCTAGTGGTTTCTAATGCTTTTGACGACGCCAAAGTTCTTCTTATGAACTAAAGATCATATTAAATTCACTTTCATATGAATATAATTGTAAATTTTGTAGTTTAGTATGATTCGTTTGCATTTCAGTACTTAGTGCTATAATATAATTAGAGCTGAATAAATTAGAAGTATTTAACTTGATACTTTCAATCAATTAAATTACTACAGATTGAAATGGACTAGAAGAATTTGCGCGAGTTCCAGATTTATATTTAATCTTTTTATTTACATAGTACGTGGGAAATAATCAGCTGGTGTTACTTATGATTTGTTTGATAGATGAAATGTGATGAATTGTATTGACAAAATGTTGTGATAAAATGACTGTGAGTAAAATTATTGAAGCTATAGATACATTAAATAAAAATGAGACATAGACATACTCTGAATATGTTAGTGTGTCTTTACATCATTATTATACTTCGAATCTAGAATAAGAGTTAAATCAAATTGTAGGTATGTCAAATTTTACACATTGCTTCAACATAAATGGCAATAATCTTTATTAACTTGTCCGTATCGTTATTATATAGATGTTTATTGTTCTATTACGCAAGGGTATAGAAATTATTTAAATGTGTATATGAACTGAATTCAAAAGTAAAAAAGAAAAAAAGTTACTTTGATAACAATTGGAAGACAAGGGCTCATTAAATATAATATTGGAAATAATCCAAATGTCTTTTTCTTATATGAATAAATATTGTTATAAAATTTCATTACTTTGTTCATACTTATATAGAATGAAAATAAATAAACAGTAATAATGACAAAAGAACAAGTTAATTTATCATGAGTTTTATGGTGATTTTCAAATAAATTCGAATTTATCAGCAAAGCATTTCAACAGAAGAACAAAATGGATAAGTTGTGACAATAAGATTCTCCACAAAAGACATTGATGGATTTTCTTTTTAATCAAATTTATCTGACGGTCTGTTTTTCTCGATAGGCGTTAAAGTTTAATTAAACTCATGATACTGTTACAATAGTACTGCGCATTAGCTCACACTTACGTTGAAAATTTTGGTAAAAGTGTTGAAAGCATGACGACAGTGAGAGCATTCAGATAACGATATCGTCGAAAACCAGAAGCTGATGTAGACGATTCTGAATTACTCATATTTTCTTCATTGTCGTCGTCCTCTTCTTTGAACATTAATTCATCTTTTATCCCTGGACTGTTTCTTTCATGACTTCGATTGATGTTCCATTTCTTAGGATCTCGACGAGAGTTTGGTTTCCTCGTTGATGGTGGTTTTGGTATTTCTACAAATCGATTTTTATTACATTAATATCTTTTAATATTTATTCAGATTTCGTTAAAAAAGTGATAAAAATATAAATGTCAGTTGAATCTTGGTATAAAATCATTTATTAAATTAATTGATAGTTGAGAGTTCAATGGTGGAAATAATTTGAATTTTATTGCAAGAATTATTTAACATTATTTTAATTATATATTCAAGAAATTGAATTATGATAAATATGCAGTGATCTGGTAATATTGATTGTATTCAATTACTTATGGTCATGTGACAGACATTCTAAGCGAGAATTTTAATTGTGAGTCAATATAACCAATGATGATAAATTTTATATGCATATCAACCTCAATTATTCAATTTTTTGAATAGTCAAATAAATTTCTAATTTGAAAATTTTCATGGTTTGACGTATTTGTGTCATGTTGTCAAATTAATGCACAGTTCTGTGTCATCTGTCCCGAGCAGACTGCATTCGAATATAAGAGAAAAGTAAATAACAAAGGTAAAATTAGTATTCTATTGTTGAAAGTATACTAGCCGAGATTTTTTATCGAATTTTTTTTTTAGAAATGTGTGATCGGCAAAGAAAAAACTCTTGCTAATCTCTATGCCTTTAGACAGATAAGTGGAACTTATCTCCTACCCTTACACATTTACCAATCAAGTTGGAAAACTCTTTCTCCAGAATTCTTTTTATTTTCTTTCTCAAGTATCAAATGGATTCAACTCTTTATCAGACAATTTTTATGTCTTGTATAATGATCATTAACCGTATCGAATAAAAATAGATCAAATTTAATTATATAGCTTAAATTCAATCTGAATCACCTTTCAGTAACAAATATAATTAATTTAATCAATATATAATGAAATACTCTAATTGTTTAAATCTCTCATATAAATGATCCCCAGCATAATTAATGAAGATACTTCATAAATTCTAATAAGTTGTGAGTTACTTCGATAAAAGGTCAGTAATTGCTTTGGTTTTAGTTGATCGTGGTATCCGAATGTTTCAACTCAATCATTTGGTTGAACCACCAACAGAAGAGAAAAAATTGAAACGCTCGGTTGTATGACAAAATTGATATTGGAAAATTACGTGGCTGTCATCGGACAAAAGTCGCAGGTTACCATGAACCATCGATTGCTTTGCCTTTACTAACACCTACAGAAACATATTTCGAAAATCGAGTGACCTCGGTCAACAACCATGATATACATTTACCTGAACACTATCTCAGATAGGACATGATTCAACTGACATTTCAATTTTACAATTGTAAAACGTTAAAAAATAACTTCATTTACACGTCATGTTAACTATTTTACATTCTATAATTTTTACTATCAACATTTATCTATATAAAAGTATCTAGATAGAAGGATAATATAAGATCAAATATTTACTGTATAATTCAATTCTTCCATCCGTTTCTCCCAGCAAATTTGTTGCAATACATCTGAAGGTCCCGTAATCTTGCGGTCTCACTGATTTTATTAACAACGAAATTATTGTTTCATATCCATTTGTAATGGCTTCTGCTTTATAATTGTTATCTGGAAAAAAAGAAAAGAAATATGTGATTAATGGAATAATACTATTGTGTTAGGCTTGTTAAACTATATTCAAGAATGCATATAATTAATCATCCCGTTGTTTGATAAATTATTCTTTCATGCATTTTTTCAGCTCATCACATAGAACAATTGTGTCTGTTCTTTCTGACTTGCATTTTAAAAGGTGAACTATCTCCTTTAATTCTTTTTTTTTTACTGTTTTTGTACAATTTTTCTTCAATCAAGCTATTTATTGCTGAAGTAATAGGTTATATAACTTCATAAAATCTATGATATCCACTTCAACAGAAATTCTACTTTTCTTTTTTCTTTCTACTTAGCTCAATATAGAATCATTAAAAATGATTGAACATAAAAAATATTTACTACATTTGAAAGAAATATTTTTCAGCTTTTTATTTAGATTGGTGTGAAAATAAATAAGAAAAAAAAACTTGTTGATAAAACAAAATATTTTACAATATTTGAATATATTTTATTTATTCATAATAATAAAAAAGTAACTATGCTTGATGTTTGTAAATATTTGTACTTGATCGTTAATCAAAATCTTTTATTGATTTATAAAATTTGGATTCAAAACAATGAGTCAAAAGAACTTACAGTAAAATATTTACAATAGTAAATATTACAAGAGTAAATATAATACCTCATCATCACAATAAATAAAACATAGTTTTTTTTAAGTAAAGTTAACTATTGAGTTTCAGATTGTAATTCTATCCTTAATTATTGACAATTAAATAATTTATCGAGAGTATTTAAATAATTTATATTGTAATTATTATAATAAGTATTTTAAAGTTATATATAGATTGATTCTGATACTTCTCAGTTTATATTTTACCTGGCCACATATTTTTGTTTTAAAAAAGTTAAACATACATATGAGCTTTGACAATATTAAATGACTTTTAAGACTAATTTTCAAAGTACCTGTAAAATAAATAAAAATAATATCTGACGATAAAGAATGAAGCTTCTCTTGTTATTAATTAACTTCACTTTTTTCCTAAAAAATATTTCGTCCTCTTTTTATGGAAAAAAATTTTTTTTATTTGTATGCATCATAGTATAATTTTTTTTCATTGCATGACATGATTTTTTCTTAAGTAATCAATAATAAACACAACAATAACTTTTGAAATTGAATTTTACTCTAGTCTGAGTAAATAATAAGCGAGCAAGCAGTATTTACTTGATGGAAGGTAGTTTTATAAAACGATTAAAAATTCATAACACTACAAAGAAATATTTGAAATGTCTATACACATTTTGTAACAGAAATATATTAGCATGTGGATTGTAAGTATAAATTGTAAGGTAATTTGAAAGTTAACTGACCGATATAAATGTTTGTAATTCATTACTTTGGAATAATAAATTAGATGAGATATTTGGTCAGAAATAAATTGTTGTAGAATATTTCATCATAGAGACATTTTATCAGACGGTATCCTGGACCAGGATCAATTACCATGCAATCAGATATTTAATAAATTAAACGATGGAAGGAAAAAGTAGTTTGACTGCAAGGGAGAAGTTTTCATGCTAAGTTAGGTCTTCAAATAATTAAAAATTCAATTTTTATTTTCTAAAAATTAATTTGGAGAAAAGTTGATATCAAATTCCATGAAATAAAGCAACTATTATGAGTGATTACTTAAATTCATAGTAAAAAAAATACATATGTAAGTCTAGAAGTGATCAACTAAAAGAGACTTGGTGTAATAAATGCACGTCCTACCTGCTAATAATTTAAGTGTACATTGATAGTATGTAAGGCATAATAAGTACACAAAAGTTTCTCAGGTAGACCATGTTAAGAAATAGCATGGATATGTGCGTGAAAGTTTGAAGAACATAATTTAATGTTAAGTATAATTATAAGCGTACGTTACATACTCGTTAAAAACCTCATTATAATGGTGGTTTTAACGATGGCAATGATGATGACGTTGATGTAACTTGAAGGTTTTAACCGGATTGTTGAGGTATCTTGTAGCTGCCAGAAATAAATACGTACGAAAGCAGGAAAGTAATAAACTTGCAATTTATACTCTCAAAGTAACTTTGATGTTATGAAACTTAGTTAAATAGATGTATGACTAATAAAAGAAAAAAAAAATTAACCAGAAGAAATAGAAAATAATTAAACGGAGTATTTAATATGCAATTTAATAAAACTTCATCATACAAAGGAGTTGAATATAAATTGGGTAAAATTTGCGATAAGTATTATTAAGTCAAGATAAAATGATGATGATAAAGAAATATATCACTACAAAGGAGAAATAAGGACAAATGTTAAATGACTTTTTTAACTACTTGATAACGTACTACCTCATTTAGTTTGAATGAAAGTTTATTGGTGGATGAGTATTAAATGTCCTATTCCCATTGACGATGTGAACATAAGGAAATAATTCATTTTACTTGAACAAACTTTACAATTCTTACCTACTCTATAGTCTGACTAAATGGACATTTGACTGCATGTCGTAAACACCTGGATGCTGAGTAATTTTACTGTTTGGAAATATATAAAACTTACCATTTACGATGGTTTCGTTATTTGGTCGAGTCCAATAGACCACAGGTCGTGGATATGCTTCACTGAGACACTCCAAAGTCAATGTTTGACCTTCATATGCTCCTATTAATTGCTTCTCAATCCTTATCATTGGTGAAACTGGAAAATGGAATAAAGTAATCAATATTTTTCACTAATAAATATTATTAACTAATTTTATTAGAGTGGAAAAGTAAAAATATCGTGAATAATCATGAATGTCTTATTGTAAAAGTTTCCATTTCCTGGTGGTACTTTTAGAATAAGACTATTTTTAATATTTTATTTTGTTAAAAATTGTTCCTTATTAGTCATTTCTATGGATTGTAAAGAACGGATTTTAAATAAAAAAAAAACTTGCTTTATTATCATAGCTTGTGAAATTAATTAATGTTATTATATAATTAATAAAAATAATTCAATAAAATAAATTCTTCCCAAATTCTGAATATAATCACTTCAATTTCGTATTTCTTCACAAATTGAAGAAAAATTGAATTAAATCTATTTCGATAATGTCATCATCTTACTTCTATCCTTTGGTTTTCCCGAGACTAAATTTAAAGTTAAGTTTCAACTTCAAAATTTTCAATTCCTTTGATGTCCCAATTGCTGCTTATCATTTAATTCCAGTTTGGGAACTATTAACCTCATTGAAGATTTTGATGTCTTAGAGTGATCTAAGAATGATCTAAATTTTTAAAACATTGTTTAGATGGCATTGATACACTTCTGAGGTTCAAAATAAATTTAATAAGATCCATTTTCGACCTCAATTTTGTTAAAGTGGACGAAACAACAAAATTAAAATCGAAACTGGACTTAGACTGTATGTATAGTGATGTATTTTTAATTTGAATTTCAACTTCAAAGTTGTAATTGAAGACTTTGAAGTTCAAAAAATATCTTGAATTCTGTCTCGGGAATTGACTCAACACCCAATTTCTTCAATAATCCAAAGAATATCCAAATATAAAATAATAATTTAAAGTAACAATCGCAACACGTTTTTATTTTCTTTTCATGATAAGGTAATTCTTTAACTACTAAAAATGTCTAATCCAACTTTGGAATATTTTTAATAACAACCTGTAATGACTGAAAAAAAATTACAAGTATCTTAATGATCCCCTAAGTCCCAACGTTGGCTTTTTATATTTTTGAGAACAATGGCATTTAGGGAATTCCGGTAAGACGTATGTATTCAACAAAAACTCTACATTATTTTAGAATAGCTTCCACTTTACTCTTTATTTTTACTAAATTTATGCACAAATGAGTAAAGAAAAGTAAAATTCTGAATAGTATAAATTTAATCTTTTTAAAATATTTATTCTTACTGGCTAGAAAATATTCTAGATACTTTAAACTATTTATAAATATAATAAAATAAGTAATAAGAAGCTTATTTAAAAAAAAATTCCTCATTTTCTTGTAAATCATTTTTCTTCAGAATATTTTTATAAAATATATCTAGGCTAGAATAAAAAGTATTTGCAAATAAACTATAATAGCGCGATAAAGTAGAGAGAAATTATTGGTAGATAAGGATTATAGGATTACGAGGTGACAGATATATAGGCAAAAATAGAGATAAATTAAAACAATATACTTACAATTTACAATAAGAACTATCCGTTTGCTTACAGATGGTGGAACTCCATTGGAAGCAATACAGAGATAAGGACCCATATGGTGACGTGTCACTCGTATCAATGCCAACTCTGGACCTTCTAAAGTAGTTGCTGACATGAAAAAGTTGAAAAGTTTTCATATAAATAAATTTCAAAAAAATTATCTGGCAACTGAACTATTGATTTTCATTAAAACTTGTACCAATAAAATTCCAAATATATTTTTTAATTCATCATCTCGAAATTTAGATAGGGAAATAAAAATAAAAAATCAAATAAGATGAGTTTTAATTGTAGAAATGAAACAAATTACAAAAAAGTAAGGAAATATGGAGCAAGACAGCATTTTCGATTTTTGGTAACTTAGTGAGGCAAAATGGATCCTCCGAAGCTGTTAATACCAAAGATAACGTTGATTTGAAAATATGATTATCACTTCAATTATATTATTATGTGTATAAGTAATTTTAAAATTCAAAAAGCCGTCTTGCCCCGTATTTTCCTACCTAGGAAGCTCATAAGTATTTAACTAGAAATGAGATGAATTAAAAAGTGAAGTCTGACACCTGTTGAAAGGAGTGATAAATTGGATAAAATTAAAGCTACGTTATAACATCAAGATATTATATACAAAACGATTTGAGATACTTTACCGTTATGCCAATTAGGAAGAACTATCTTTTCATTAGTTTCCCTTCGCCATGTGACAGTTGGTTTTGGAGTTCCAGTAGCCGCACATCGTAGCGTAACATTACTACCCTCCATCACTTCCATGTCGGTGCTTGTTGGATAATTCAAGATGTCGGGGGGAACTAGAACAGTCAATGAAATTGATTAATAAATATAATATATAGGATATGGGTCATAATATAAAACTTGAAGATATTCCTTTGTTGGTGATGAATGCAAATTCTGGATCAGTAAATGAGTGATTGACAATTAATTTGAATTGTTTTATATAATAAAGGTAAAAAAATATACAATTGTTCTTTCGAGTGTTAATTTACTGGTTCTAAAATTTCTCTATACATGGCTTGTTAACGCACGTCAAACTATTGAAATTTTCATGCTAACACGTTTTGTAATAAATAGCCAATAACATTTTATTTTTCGTGTGGGATATCAATTGCCTGTAGTGCCCGGAGCAATTCAAGTAATCTCTGCATTCTCTGTATTGAGTTATTGTGATTATTCCATTTAAATATAAAATATAGTAGGAATATTGACGTACGATTGTTGGATTCGTCATGGAGAATTGTCGAGTTACATTTAAACTAATGGAGTGAGAAAATTGAAGATTGATGAATGGATGTTGGAAAAAAATTTCGAGGTTTTCAAAAGATTGAAAAATCTGAGTGGTTTCAAAAACCTTTTTTTTTTTAACGTTCATTCAACGAGAGCATCCTCTAACTCTTTTTCAATTTTGAACAATGGTCAATACTTGAACACATAGTGATTTAAATATGTTATTTAGTCAATTTTTTGAAAATGCATTTATCTGAATATAAATATATATATGTTTATATGGATTAGATGAAATTACTATCAACTAAAACTCAACAACATTGGAAGTTCTTTGAACAGACACAAAGGACAAACCTGAAAGTTTATGGCTTCCTGACCCTCTGAGATCATGCATCAGGGGCTGACTAGTCAATCTGATTAATTTTTGCGCACTTTAACGTTTCTGTGCCATTTTATTGAATTTGCCCTTTGTTGGGTTGTATTACAATAAATTCTAGGATAACATCAAAGCCTACTGCACATTAATTATATTTTCTATCTGAGATTCAGAGATTATGGATGACGTGGTTTCGTCTAATAAATGAATAAGGGTATTAAGCTACATGTAGGGCTCATATCATATTATTATCGTCTCTTCTACCATGAAATAGGAAAATTTATTTTCGAACTTCAGTGAAAGCATTTTGTAAAACCTATTGAGTGCTTTCCAATAAATTCAGGTGCACTGTTGGTCAATAGTTTTTTTTTTTAAGAAATTATCGGAGCTCAAAGTAAAAAGTGACGTTTTTTCTTTAAAATTTAATAACTCTGTTAAAAAAAGTCGTAGGACATTGACTAATAAAGTAGTTGATGGGCAAAAGAACAGACTTTTGAATGTTTTATTTGGATTTTTTCCAGTATTTTTTGCTGCACCAGGAATACTTTAAAAATCTACAAAAAATGCAAAAATAATTTATTTCTATTGAAAAAAATTTTTTGTTTTGAATATGATATTTTTTGTTGAAATTTTATTTAGATTTTATGTAAAATACAAAGAAAAATTATCAAATAAACAAATGTTAAAACAATATAGATAACTACGAAAAATTTTCATACACAAAAACATTTTTATAGTACATTTGAAACGAAAAAGTTGTACAGAACCTATTTGTTGAGCTTTTTATCAATTTTAGCAACATCTTTTGCTACATTGTCTCCATTTATTGGACTGTTAACTTTCAATAATTTTTCAAACGTTTCCATTGAAAAAAAAATATTCCGAAACAAATAAAATTCTGAAAGATATCGAGCAGTATTCAAAACTCTTTTCCACCGATTAAGGATAAAATGTTCTGACTAAAGAGAAGTCGGATTAGTTAGTTGCTATAAGGAAACAATGACTTCAAAAACAAAAAAAAATAATATAAATGAGAAAATAGGTAATAAAATAATAGCGACAATTTTTTAAATAAATATAGAAATGAAAGTTGGGTAAAAATGAAATAATTACTAGCATGGGAAAACGAATGAATAACAAAAAATAAAACAATCACGATTACAATTGGATTTGGACAAGCGTGCAATGTCCTTTATCGCGTGGGTGTCATTCATTCATCTCGAATTGGACCATGTCAGGTTAAATATGGATGCCAAAAAAAAGTATATCTATCCAACAGTGTATGTATATCATTGATATATTGAAAACGATCGTTGACCATTTCCGAAACATAAAAAACTTTTGTTCTGATTATTGATGAAAAATTTCACGTTCTTAAAAACGTCACGACAAGTTTTGTTGAATTAAAAAAAAAATAAACAAATTTTTTATCACATTTATAAATGTTGAGTATTTTTTTTGTTTTTTTTTCTTTTTTATAACCATTAAAAAAGATCTAATATTCAAATAACCTACTTTTTTGGAGCTGCACATTTGTAAATTAGTACTGTCATGGCATGAGGAATGAAAATTTGATGTAAAGAAGAAAGGGTGAAAAATGGTTATAAGACAAAAGAGGTAAGTTATTATTAAAGTAGAAAATACGTCGTCAGGAAGGTGTTTAATAGCCTTGCGTTCTACTAAGAATGCAATTGGCTAGCTTACGATCCGATGGAGATATATATACACAGAATACTTTGCATATATTTGCATGGGACCAACATCAGGCCGCAAATCGCAGCGAAATGGGCGGATCCGTAAAACGCACGTCTCTATCTCGGTGACCCACACTTTAGTTCATTTTAACGCACGAACAACTCAATGATAACTTTTACCATAGCTAAAATATCGACGAATAATTTGCAATTATTGTTCCTGTAAAATATCACCTAAATTAACTTGGAACTCGCTTGCGATAACTTATGGTATCACTTTTTCCATGAATTATCACGTAACTATTGCAAGAAGAAATTTTATTGGAACATTAGAAAAAGTTTTCTGTCAAATAAAAAAAGAAAATTAATTAATAATTAATGCTAATGGTTGGACCTGTGCTTTTAATCAAGATGTAATCAATAAGACAATGGTTAAAAACAGTGAAAAAATTCATTCCATGACTGATATATTTATTATCATTAATTGCAAACTTCTAATTACTATATAATATTGCTTAAAATTAAAAAGAAAATCACTTGGATGCTTGTAGTTAATTACACCTTATGTACTAGTCATTCATTGAACATTTTACTTTATAAAAAGTTTAGAGGTATTAAAAGAGAATTTATTTAGACAGAAAAAATGTTGATTTGAATGATATTGAAAAAATGTTTGTTTGTTTGAATGGTTCACTATTTGAAATCAAATATTTCAACATTTATTGAAATGTTACTTTTCGTGATTTGAATATTTAGATCCTTTTGTTCAAATAAAAGATGTTCAATATAACGAATGAATTTTTTTTTAAACCACTATTGTTACAAACATATAAAGAATTATTTGAGTCAAAGAATCCTGTATGTAGAATGTGTTTAATTAAAGACACAAGAAAGATTTTTTTACAAACATTTTAAAAGTAACGATTGAAGGAATATTTTTGAATAGATGGTTTTGTCACAGTAATGAAATTCATTTGGTATTGTTGATTGTTAATTAAGATCTATCGATTGTTCTATGGAAGGAAATAACTATTGATGAAAGATAAACTTATCAATAGTTGTTAGTACTACTGAACTTGCTATTGGTGCTCTTAATCAAAAAACAAAAAGTAAAAGTGGAACAGAATGGAGGATAGAAGAGATATAAATAATTAAATGAGCATGCCGATGACTAGTAGAGTTTTTTGATGCAAAAATAAGTTATATGTCAATTAGATCTATGTAACTAATTCAATTTATAATCGATTTTTCAAGTAAATATTCATTATTAATTTTATTTAAAAATATTTTACAATTTTTTGCTTGGAATTTTGATTTTAAATAATAAATTTAATATATAAAAAAATTTATTACAATATTACAGTGAACTTTAATGAAAACATTCAATTGGAATGATTACAAAGAATTGAATCGAAAAATTTTATAAATTAAATAACAATAAAAATAAACTATAAAAATTACTAGAGTATTTAATTGGATGTTGGTGTCAATTGTCAGTAATAATTAAAATGTTAATCTAAATAAAATAAAAGCAATGGCCCTATGATTCAGTACCTGTTGAATTTATTGATGGGCAAAACTGATTTCCATCAATATCAAATTTTATGATGATTATTTTATTATTTTTTAATTGTTATCGTTATTAAAACGTTGACTTTTATTTCCAACATTTTTGCTATTTCATGTGTGCAACAAGAGTGCATTGCTTGGATAAATGAAATAGATTAAGTCTACAATAGCTAAATATTTACTATGTAAATAAAATGTTTGTCAATCATTCGAGTAAATTTACCTAGAATAACATTTATTACATGTCATCCAAAGTGTATTGTTGTTAATATTTTATTGTCTATAAATTTCTTTTTACAAATTAAATCTTATAAAATATTAATTTCAATTGAGTTGTAGATAGAAAATTAAATCACTTTCAATTTTATTTAAATTTTTTAAATGATTATAATTAAATAAATAATTTCACTCAAAATATGATTTTAATTCTGTCAATTTAATGAAGATAATGATTGATATTTCAACTAGGAAAATTATAAACTGACATAAACCCATGAAATAATTCTCTTAAGCAATAAACTCAATATTGAAAACTCATTTGAATATTTATCAAACATAATAATAATGTTTTTCTATTTATCCAAACACGTCATTATTGAGAATAATATTAATACAATTATGCAAAATTATATGCTATTTTTATAATCCATCATTTCTGCATCGTTTTATTTAATTAATAGAGTAAATATTAATAAAATAACGTTGGCAACAAAAAGATCAATAATTCAAAAAATAAACCTCCACTCTATTCGGTAAAATGTTGCAATTGATATGAAATTACTCAGCAATATTCATTTAATTCCTTTCACAGCGATTAACAGGTAGATAGTAGATATTGTAGATCAACACTAAATATGACAATGACAGGGGATCTGATCTGAAGGGTGACCTGGTTGCTGTACTTTGTAAATAAAGTAATGAGGGGATAAGTGCGGGTTTAATTAAATTAAAAACGTGTCAAGGATGATAGAAGGTGTTTACGGTATTTTTCGAAGTTATTTCCAAGTCATGAATTCTGGATATAAGCCTTACATCCAGTTCTCGAAGAATCTCAAAACTACTTTACTTTCTTCATAGTTGCGTTCAAGTTTGACTCTTGAGTCGCAAATGCAAGAAAAATAACTAGCTAAACTTTAAGTGTAGCTGAATTGTGTGTAAACTTTTTATTTTAGTTGCTTCGTTTACTTAAACAGAGTCAATATTTGTAATTGTATTGACCATTTTGCATACAAAACGTTTTAAAAATGCTAAATTTATGCTCAGAAAATATTCAATAATGTCTTTGTGGCTTTTTGAAAAATTATTGACTTGTAGGCTAACTATAAACCTACATGAAATTTCTTAGGAATGGAAAAAAGCATATAGTGTTTAAGTAATACACTTATCAATATAATCCTCTTTAGTGAATTAAAAAAAAAAGGTTAACAATAAGTCAGAATGAGTTTATTTATTCAATAACTTTACTTTTATTATTTTATGTTGAATTCATCGTTAAGAATTTAGAGAAACTAAAGAAAAAATATTACAAACGTTGCTTTATGAATAAATTTACAAACCATCGTAAACAAAGCTGTTTTGTTAAGGAAATAATTAAACTTTAAATAAAGAAATGACTTTTTTTTTTAAAAAAAGAAACTGTTTGCATGAATTTATGTGGTTATTTTTAGGATTAAAAAATGAAGAATTAAAATTAAAATTTCAGCTATTTTTAAATTATTCAAAAAGTTGGGTAAGGTTGAATGACTGTCTATTGTTCTTGGTACATTTGTTGATAGTACAATAGAGTAATAGAGTTTTTGTTTAGAAGAATTGTTTACTTATCATTATAAAAAGATGCTTCCCTTCAAGAACTTTGTACTTATATTTTATGGTTCCAATGCTAAATCATCATTTTGTGATGAGAACTAAGTTAAGTAGATTTTGATAGCTTTTCTTTATTTTAAAGTTTTCAACAAGACTGTGGTTTAATATATGCAGTATTCCAACACAGATTTACTTATAAACTAGAGCAAAAAACTTCTTAATTTAATCTTAGTAACTGAGGTTCAATCTTTCATTTGAAATTTATGAAAAACATACTCAACAAGCTCAACTTCATCATTAAATAGTGCATCTATTGGAACAATTGCATAAATAATATTTTTCCAATCATTTTCCACAATTTGTATGTTTAATTGTTAAGTTGAAAAATAACTTTAAGGGTCGAATAATGAATGTTCTTGTAGTGAAGCAGACTGAACAACTGAAAGACATTGTTTATTGCTAAAATATGATAAATAACCTTCAGGGTATAGATGTAAGCTTCCATAAAATATTGAAAAATATTTTCACATACATATGAAAGAATGTAAAAAATATTTTATACCAAAATCTACTATCGAATTAACTAAATATAATAATTATTTGAATTTACATAATTAAAATCACAGCGTAACGATAAAGTCACTTGAAAATTCTCAAGCATTAAAAATTAAAATCTACATTCTCGAAATCATGAATAAATAGTTGATAATTCCCAAGTGGTAAAATATAATGGCTATTATTAAGGACCAATGACGTCTTTATTATGAAACTAATTTTACAGAAATATTTTATAGTGTATTTTCCTAATTTTATAGCATAAGTGACGTCCGAAGAACTTTATTTCAGAAGGTTTAACCCAATTGTTTGATCCTGAATTAAAGAGATCAGAAAAATAAGACAGATTGGAGTGGAATGACTGGTATTGGTTGAAATGAACAAATCTGTCTTTTTACCAGATGAGATTGGGTAATAACTAATGTACTAATCTCTTTATTCTCCTTCAGCAGCAATAAGAAACCAACCTTAGACGTGGTCAAACTCAGATAGTCCTTTTTATTGCCCAAGTTAAAAATACAAAGTGCTTTTCTTATCAGCTCTGGTGTGTATCTAGAAGAGTTAAAATTTCTACAAAATTAAAGAGTAGAATTTTGCAACGAAGTAACCAGCTTCTGTGGCATGTATGTTCTGAATTCTCATCTCCAAAACTGAGTGACTAGCTCTTGGAAGAAGGTTCTATGGAGCAGAGGAATTTTAAACAACTCTGAGTTTCTAGGTAAAAACTGGCAGATAGAGAATGGTCAAGTTCATTACAAGAAAATAGAATGATTTAGTAATTCGAATTTATCCCTTTTTTTACTGTAAGAAACTCACTCCACCATATAATTCAAAGCTACGTACATCTTAGAAGCACACCATGTTCTTATGAGCACAAAGCTGTCCAATTTTGCTTCAAACTTTATCAGCTTAATCAAGCCTGCTCAATGAGGCTTAAATAAAATTCAAAGACACTTGCTTCATTTTTTACAATACAAAGGAAGGAATATTGTGAACATGACTACACCAAGTGTCACTGGAAGAATATCTACATGGAAAGAAGCTTTAAGTAAAAATTACCCTGCAACTCAGAGTAACTGTAGTACACTACACCTGAATTGCAGGGTAATTTTTACTCAATCCTTCTTCTTGTAAGCATATCATTAATATCACAATCTACATTGCAATGAGAGCCATGTACTCTAGTATTTTCTACTCAGGATTTACGCTAAAAACCTTATGCATCATTTTCCTTTCCAATATTATACAGAGAAGAAAAAATAAAACTATCCACTTCTTGCCAAAAAGATATTCACTTCAATATTCGACTTCTAACTCTCACGTGTACCTTCGAAATCTCTTAATACTTCTCCCATGATTTTGAAAGAAAAAAATTCAATAATAGAATGCATACATTATCAAAAATGGATGTTATATCTGTTTAATTAATTTTTTTTAATAATGTTAACCAACTGAAATCAAGAGTGATTATGCTTTGTATCCAGTACACGTCTACTGCAGTTCACTCCACCCCCTTCATCATCCTTCTAAATTGATTCAATTAATTTCATAAATGCTAAATAATTCATACATTATAAGAGAAACAATCCAAGTCATTATCTAAATTTATTGATATTTTGTATTGAAATTTTATCAAATTTGTAATAATAACAATAATAATTATTCTATCTTTACTATTATTATAATTGTTAATGTAATAATAACTTCAAGTGAATCAGTATTATTATTAAAATTATTCTATAACATCATAATAAAATAAATAAATTATGCTTAATCTAATAGTGAATTATAAAGAGGCTTTTTTGCATATGTTATAATCCAATATTTTTAAACCGAATTTCATGTTTTGGGTTAATCATTTTAATTAACACAATTATGTGAATTATTATAAATAACTAATATGAATGTATAATTCGAAAAACTTGCAAACTAAAATTATTTAATTAGTGCACAAAGTAGAACATGTTTGTTATTACAATTCTTAACTAAATTAAAATTCATTCGTCAATAAAAATGTAATTTTATGAAATGGATTGTTTGGTGAGTGGTTTGAGTACAAGGAAATATCAATAAAAAACAAAGTATTGCAAGTAATTTTAGTATAATTTAGGTAAAATAATGGTTAATATTTACCGACAACTTCCAGGAAACCAGTATTGCTGGACATTGGATCGGTATTGACTTGACACATGTACCATCCACGATCTGTCTCTCGCGTGTCTTTTATATGAAGGGACCACATGCGGTGGCCGGTGTGTACAACAGTAATCCGGTGATTCTTCGTGATAACGTGAGTTGCTATCGTTAAGATGGTCTGCGTGTCGACGCGAAGCCACGCCACCTGCAAAAGTGCCAGACAGATTTTATACTTAACCAAACGCTTTTGACTAAAGCTTACACACCCAAATGTCCAATTTATTTCACCTAAATCTTTCTTTGTTGTTTATCAAACTCATCATTTCCTTTTCAAAATGAACTTATGGTCAAAATGATAAGTAATTAATTTTTCATTGGAAATGGATTGTCTTTTTTTGTTTGAATACTTATTTAACTGTTTATATTTGAACTAAATAATTTTATACCTGCATAATATTTGCAAAACTTTAAAACCCAATAGCATTTAGAATAATATAATCAGACTTTTCCTCAGTATTTTCATTTAATAATATTCAATTTATTCATAATCAATTGATTAATCCAAGAATATATACAAATATAAAATTATACCCATTTGTTATTCAATATTTATTCTAGAAAGATTAACGAATTAATTGAATAATTTTCATTTGAAATGATCAAATGTTATTTTTACGAGAAAATATTTTTTAATTAACAAACTGAAAATACATATTAAAAAAAAATTTAATTATAAACATAAACGGTCATCAGAGCGTAAATATGACATTTCTTTAGTAATATTTTTACAGGAATATTTTTATACATTTACATTCAAACTCTGTAAATAAATAATCTGTCCTACAAAAATAATAATCACTACCCCAGTGTATTATGCAGCTTGCGAGTGGACTGTTGCATTGTGTACATTTTTAATAAAGCAGTCTGACACATTTTTTATTAAACAAACTAGGAAAAATGTGCAAATAACAATGTATGTGGTTGGAGAGATCTGTTGATGTCATTTATGACCATCAGTACTTGGAAACATACTGAAGAAAACTCAATTCTTTATCCAAAAGTCAACAACAATTGCGATATTCCTTGTACGACATCATTACTCTGTTCTATAAGTAATTGTTTGCTGTAGGATTGTCATCTCAGCTTGTTAAAAAAACGTTGCTGACTAAAACCAAAAAAATAAACGTTCAACAACACAAATTGCACTGGTATCATGATACTGCGAAGACAGGTATTATTTTTGAGGTTCGAGAATGAAAGAGGCGTGGGTATGAAAAGATTGAGGTGATATGCGAGAATGTAAGAGGGTAGAAAAAGACAAATTGTAAAGAGAAATGAAAATATGACTCTACACGTGTATTCTACAAGAAAGTTGGAAAAGAAATAGTAAATGGAACAAGAGAAGGAAGGGGGTGTAAATTGTTTGCTTGTATACTTTGTTTTCAACGCTCGGAAGCATTGACAAAGCAGCAAGGAATGGGGTAAAACAGGTGGAATCGTGTTTCTTTGTGGTTTACCATGAATTACGTTGAGTAATTATTCAGTCATTGCCAAACCTCTTTTTTTAAGTTTCAGTTTACAAATGATATTTTGTAGTGTGTACCAACCTCTATAATATTCCTCTTCACTTGGACTTTTTTTTTACTCTTATAATTCTCAGTTTAGTTATATTTGTATATCTATTATGCTTGGTTACTACTGCGATTTAACCTAGATTTTCATAATGATTGTGTCAGAATTATGAAAGGTAAAAAATAACATTGTTAAAGAGCTGAAACATGATTCAATTCTCTTTTTTTTTTTTAACTTTTGGATAATATTTTATTCAAATTATTCTTCTTATTGTCATTTCATTATTCATATTTATTTCTGGGTCATTTATAAATCTCAACAATTACATTGGATAAAACTGGGTTTTCATGTTTCCTTTAAGTGTCAGGTCTGGTATTAATAAAATGAAGAATGAATACAATTATGAATGTAATATGGAATGATAATTTTCAAAAGTTCTAAAAATGAATAACTTCTCGTAATGTAATAATTATAATATTCACAACATCTAAGATCAATCAGTATCAGTTTGGTTTTGGTACTGTCAACATCCTCAGGGAGTAATTAGAGAATGTCATTCTAGGTAGAGAATAAATCCAAAAGACATTAGAGAGAAATATTAAAAGAATTGTAGTGCTGATAGGATATTTTGAAGAATTGAACGAGATTGGTGGATCATGTGCCTGAAGAAGTTGTCCTGATCCAGAGGTAAGAGATCAGAAGAGTTCAACCAGGATCTAAACCACAATCTTTGAGAGAAGCAAAACATCAAGTTGTAAGTGACGCAAATTTGATGGAATATTATGTTTGTATTATAATTGATTGAATGAGAAATCTGGGATTAGTTAATATTGTGAATTATAGAACAAAAGTCAATTTCACCAGGATTAAAAAAATTTCGAGATATAAAGAGGAAAGAAGTGGTGTAAATTAATATTTGATCTGATTGTTATAAATTCAAACCATGATGTTTGGAGAACAGTTAATTAATGTGTAGTTTACATTGGGTATATTTTCAAAACTAGTTCAAACTTAATTATGGGGATTTGATTAGATTTACATTTCAAAGGTTAATCAGAAGTAGTAACTTCGAGAGTATTCAATATTTGAGTTCATGTAAATGATCACATTTGGTATTCTCTTCTCTTGTAATGATTTTTAAAAAGGGTTTTTGATTTTTATCATTTTCTAATGAAGAATTTCATGAAATTGGAAATGTAGATTTTATTAGAAATAATAATCAAATATAAATCAAATTCAAATATCAATCTTGATGAAATTTCAAAGTGTACCAAAGCTGTAATAATTATCATCGATTATTGCACGATCAGATTATAGAAGATTTTTCAAGTAATTGAAGATAGGTCACGAAATAATATTACTTAATATTGATTGAAACTTAATATTAATAATAACTGAATTTGTGAGAAATGATAAACTGGATCAAGATAAAGATATAATTACTTCTTATTAATTCGAATAAAATTTTTTTTTTAATAATTGTATTATTGATCATGTACTATTTTCAAATGATTATTGTTCTCCTGCAAATGCAATTTGCTAACATTTTTCATCATCTAACGCTAATTCAAAACAACAACAAAATGATTCCTAAATTGTTCTTTGAAGCTTGAGAGATTTTTTAACATAAAAGCCGAAGTACACTACTTTAGAGCAGCTTTCTTCTTTCACAAATCAGTTTTTTGCTTCTTGTTTTGGAATTTTTTAATGGAATCATGATCTGGTTCTTTCATTAAAAAATTACAAGTAAAGCAGATCTATTAGCAGCAAACTATAGACGAATATTTTAATATGATTATTATGTAGAATCTTCATTATTATCTACAAGTAAGAAAGACTCTTACGAGAAAGTTATTTATTAATTCACAGATATATTAACAGACATGGCTGCTTAATGAACTCATTCTTAATTCTGTACATTATGATAAATTTAAAAAATGAAATATTCTTTCACTTTTCCATGATAATTTAATAAATTTTAAATTGCAATAATTCATGGTAATTTTTTTCTTATATTTGGAATCTTTTCATTGAAAGAATTTCTATTTTTAAAAACTAATTAATAAATATTGGCAAAATTTAAAATAAAATTTTTAGCTTCATGATTTTTCCAATTCAATTAAACGTAAATAGTGAAAGAAATAACTCTAAGTACATTTTTATTGCACTATTCTGACTGAAATAATTTCCAATAGAAACTCTTTTATTGCTATTAAATTTAAATAAATGCGATAAATAAGCATGATAAATAGGGAATAAGATGAGTTGAATTAGGTGTGGAAACGGAAAACGTGGTGTGAATGATTATAGGGAAGCCAATCAAGGTGATTTGAGCTTTGGCAAGTGGAAAGAGGTGGGGCAGTCGAATAGCTTAGTACACGTGTCTCTAGAATTAATTATAATAATTATACTGATGATGAGGAAAGGTCTTAAGCACTGGATTCCAGAAACTCCTCAGGAGCAGGGAAATTGATAGTACGAACTCAAGTCAGTTGGTACAGACTAATTTTAGGTATTATCAGGGTCTATATAGATAACCGTTTGATTAGCACATTACTGTGTCAAAGTTTCAGTGATAGAATTTGCATCGACATTGGTGAAGTGAGTGACAAGCCAGGAAAATTATAGGAAATCAAATAAAGGAACCGTCAACTTTACCTAAAATTTACGGTTATTTATGCATCCAATTGAAGTGAATTTTATAAGACTACTTAACTTGATGAGAGAAAATAGAAATTAAAAAATCAGGTATTTAATTATTCTACTTAATAAAGCTTAAAATGCTTTTTGTTGTCCCAATTTATTTTACATACAACCATGTGCATGTGAAAGACAATGTGGTACTTGACGATCTTTTTATCTCAGTACAAAGCGATGGTAATTATATCCTGGATCGTTAAAACGAGCTTTTCCGTCATTCGTTCCCTCTACCACGTTGCTGCACAGCTTCTGTTGGATAGAACATGATGAACATATCAATAATATACTTTTTTCTTCTCTGCTTTTATATTTAAAAGAATCTACTGGATTAGTTGTACTATTTTTTTAAAATTAATATTCATAAAAAATCCGATTATCAATTGCAAAGTATGTATATTTGAAATGGGCTTACTGTGTTTAAAATACAATATCTCTAGAAATAATTGACTTTGCGAATTTGTTTTTGTAGTTTCGAATAAAGAAACATATAATAAGCTTTCGGCTCCATATGTGTCATCTAAAAATAAGGTATTTTTTTTATTATCCTTGGAAATATTTGTTATTTATTGCTTCTATCTAATTTCAATATCATATTAATTTTCTTTTCTGTTATTTAAATGATTTAAGAGAGTGTTTAATAACCAATGCGGACATCTTATTTATTTCTTCCGGATGGCAGAAAAAGTCTTATTGGAGTTGTGTATAAATTTATTTAAGAAGCGTTGAGTGATTTATGCTCGGGTAGTTATTTTTGTGAATTTATTTATCGTAGAGAATAACACCTTTAAGAATGAATAAATTTTTCATTTGAAATTAATAGTATTGACATTAATGTTTTTTATTAACGACATGAAAAATTATTTACATCAATTTATTGGAAGATTTACCTATACATGATAAATACCTTTTTTTATTGTTGTAAATTTTGAAACT